ACATAGCTAGAGGATATTTTATGTTGTGAGAAATCACATACATATTTCTTGGATAAAAAGGTAACATTTACTGTTACTCATTTTTTAGTATATGCACTGTCAAAGCAAGCACACTAAGTTATTGATGTTCATAACATAAAAGAGAAAATTTATTTTTATTAGTGCATGTTTATAATACATAATGATCACCTTCCTTGTCAGAGGTGGTACATATACATAACACATATCTTCTTTTCTTAAAATATCCTTCCCTCCTTCTTCCCCTCTCCATCTCTTGGTTCCTTTCTCATTTGCAAAAGATCTGCCTCCTGAGTTCCGATAGTTGTTTTTTATTTTGCTATTTATTTGTATTTTGAGTTTCTCATATAAGAGAAACAATGTACCATTTTAGCTTGTGTATCGAATTTATTTAACTTAACCTTATGACCCCAAGCTACATCCATTTCCCTACAAGTGACTCAAGCTTATACCCACATACACACAGACTAGGAATTTGAATTCATGACCTTGCTCTTGCCAGGCAGGCACCATGCTGCTGAGCTATATCCCTGGCCCAAGTTTATCCTTATTTATGGCGGAATAATATTCCACCATGTATAAATTTTACCATGTATAAATTTTCTGAATCCATTTATCTACTAATAGACATACAAGCTACTTCCAAGATTTAGCTATTATTGAATTATGCTGCTACAAAACATGGGTGTGCAAGTATCACTATAATACCATGTCCTTAGCTCTTCAGGGAAGATAAATGGAAAACGAATAGGTGGGTCAAATGGAATTTCCAGTTTTAATTTTTTTGATTTCCATAATGTTGTGCTAATTTACATTCTCATCAACCATGTAGAATAGTCCCTTTTCCCCTGTAGTTTCAACAGCACTTGTTACTGTTTTCATTGTAGAGATCTTTCACTTCCTTGGCTAGGTTAACTCCTAAGCTTTTAAATTTTCTTGAGGTTATTGTGAATAGTATTATTTCCTTAATTTCTTTCTTGTGCATTTATTGTTGGTGTACAGAAATGCTTTTTGTCTTTGTATCCTGTTATGCTACTGAATGGCTTGTTTGAGACTTGCTGCATAATTCAGGCTGGGCTTGAATTCACTATGTGGCCCAGGTTGTCCTCAAACTCACAGCAGCCTCAGCCTCAGTGCTGGGATTACAGACATGCATCAACACACCTACCCTGAATTTGGTTATTAATTCTAGGAGTCTTAGCTGGGCATGGTGGCTCATGCCTGTAATCCCAGCACTCGGGAGGCGGAGGCAGGAGGATCATTTCGAGTTCAAGACCAGCCGAGGCTACAAAGTTAGCTCAAGGCCAGCCTGAAATGCATAGTGAGACCCCGTCTCAAAAAAGACAAAAAAAAAAAAATTCTAGGAGTCTTTTGGTGGAATTTTTTGGTTTTCTATATAGGGATCATATGGGCAAATAATGATAATTTGATTTCCTATATATATAGTAAATGATAATTTGATTATATATATATGTATGTATATATCTCTTTTTATTTCATTCTCTTGCCTTTTTATTTATTTTTTTTGTCTTTTTGAGACAGGATCTCACTATGCAGTTCAGGCTGGCCTTGAGTTCACTTTGTAGCCCAGGCTGGTGTCGAACTCGCAACAAACCTCCTGCCTCAGCCTCCTGAGTGCTGGGATTACAGGCATGAGCCACCACGCCCAGCTCTTGCCTGATTGTTCTAATGTTTTTGAGAATTGTAATGAACAAGAATGGTGACAGTGGAACATCTTTGTTTTGTTCCTGATGTGGAGGAAAAACTTGTGGCTTCTCATTTAGTATGATGTTGGCTGGTTTTTCTTTGTTGTTATTTTGGTTTCAATTTTTTTGTGCTTCATAAATGACTTTTATCAGTTGCGATCAGGTCCTTTCATGCTTTTTTTTTTTTGGTACCAGAATCAAACTCACGACCTTGCACTTATTAAGCAAACGCTTGAATCACTGAATGCTCATGGTTATTTCTTAAGGGTTTTTTTTTTTTTTTTTTTTTTTTTTTGGTCTTTTTCCTTTTTATCGGTACCGGGGATCAAACTCACCACTGCCTGCTTGCAAGGCAGGCGCTTATGCCGCCGAGCTAAATCTCCAGCCCCTAAGGTTTTTTTTTTAAATCATGAATGGATGTTGAATTTTGTCAAAGGCTTTTTCTGCTTCAGTTGAGGTGATGTGATTTTTGTCCGTGCTCACTTCTGTGATATATTATGCCTATTGATTTGCTAATGTTGAACCATCTGCGCATCCCTGGCCGTGATGTATGATTTTTTGATTTGTTGCACTATTTTGCATTATAGAGGAATTCTGTCTGTGTTCACCTGAGATTGTTTTCTTAATTTTTAATTTTGTAGTTTTTTTTTTTTTTTTTTACATTGGCTCTTTTTCTTGTTTGGGAATCAGGGTAATGCTAGCCTCCAGGAATGACGTTGGGAGTACTCCTTCCTTTTCAATTTGGTTAGTTTGACGCATATGAGGATTAGATCATCCCTCAAGTTCTTGTAGAATTCAGCAGTGAATCCATTGGGACCTGTGCTTTTCTTATTTGGCAGTTTTTTTATTTTTATACTTCCTCAATGTCATTACTTGTTAACTGGATTGTTCCAGGTTTTCAGTATTTCCTTGGTTCAGTTTTGGCAATTCGTATGTATCTAGGAATTTATCTATTTTTTCTGAATTCAATTTATTAACAGCACGGATTCTGAAAATAGTTACTAATAATCTGGTAAAAGAGAAAAATATAGAAGGCAAAACAGATGATACTGATGGATTTTTGAAAGATCTTTTGAACTATACTTCATTCCCACAAATACTGTAATAAATTTGACTATTAAGTGATTATAAGCTATTCTGGCCTTTGGTATAAAGATTTTCCAGGAAACAAATATTTTATGTAATTGTTACTGCATGATGCTTCTGATGCTTCTTGTTTACCTCACTGCCTTTTTTTTTTTTTTTAAATTCTGAGACAGGGTCTCCCTAAATTGTCAAGTTTTCTGGATTGTTCTTTTTTTGTCTTTTTGCTTTTTATCGGTACCAGGGATCGAACTCACAACTGCCTGCTTGCAAGGCAGGCAGCTTATGCTGCTGAGCTAAATCCCCAGCCACCTTCTGGATTGTTCTTCAACTTGGAATCCTCTTACCTCAGTCTCCTCAGTGTTGGAAACACAGGTGTGTGCTACTACATGCAGCTTTACCTGGAATTTTTAAGAAAGTGATTTGCATTTCAAATTTTTTAATACATAAATTGATGTTATTCTGAGTGATTTTTTTCTTCTTGGAATCAGGTCTCAGTGTTGCCCAGGTTGGCCTCAAACCTGATATTCTCCTGTGTCAGCCTACTGAGTAACTATGGCTACAGGTGTGTGCCATTATATAAGGATATTTTTCTAAGAAGTAAATCCAAATATTTCTGATTCAAGAGTTCCTCGAAAGTTTTTTTTTTCCTCCTGGTAGGGCTGAGGATTGACCCCGAAGCCCCTGCAGTGAGGAACATTCCAGCCCTTGTTGAATTGCCCAGGCTGGGCTCACACTCATCTCCCTGCCTGCACTTTCCACAGTGTGGAATGACAAGCTGTGCTACGATGCCCCACTCCTGAAATACTGAAAATCTGCACTGCTGTTAAATGACTTTGCATACCGTTTCTAATGTCCTGTAACTTTGTCTTCTATTCTTGCATGTCTCCATGCTACTTTTCCACGCCTCCATACACTCTGTCCTTCTACCTGGCATGCTCAGCCTATTGGGTTCTAAACTCATTTTTTAAGATTCAACTCAGAAAAAGGCACAGTGATGCACAACTGTAATCCCAGCCCTCAGGAGGCTGAGGCAAAAGAGTTACTGAGGCCAACCACTGGAATTCACAGTGAGATCTTGTCTTAAATAAACAGATTCAGCTAAAATATACTTCAATTCATCTTCACTGCTGCTTCTCTCCAGTGCACCCACAGCAGAGCACTTTATTACTAAGCAGAGTTTCTTTGCTGTTTATCTTCCATACCAACATTTAGAGTACAGATTGCTTTAATGCTTTTATAAGTAAGATCTAGCACATTTCTAGTTTAAAAAAAAAGACAGATTTTTGAATGAAGGAATTAATTTTTTTTGTCTTTTTCTTTTTGATCGGTACCAGGGATCGAACTCATGACCACACACTTGCAAGGCAGGCACTTAATGCCACTGAGCTAAATCCCCAGCCCTGGAATTAATATTAATTAAGCATGTTAGAATCTGATTGGCAGTGGTAGGTAATCGCTAAAAATCAACTGGGCAACGTATAGCTTAGTGGTAGAACACTTGCACATCCCTGAGTCTCTTCCCTAGTGCTGCAAAAGTGAACAAGCAGAGAACACAACTGAAGACAAAATATAGATAATGCTGAATTATCTCTGAATGTTGAATATATGTAATGCACCGGACTAAGTCATTCATGTATTTTTGATTTTTAAATTAATATATAACCCACATACCATGACATTTATCCTTAAAGTAGTAATTTGGCTAAAAATGGAGAAAGCTTCACTGTCATCACCCATCCTTGTATTATTCATATTGTTATGCTATGGGTCTAGATGACCCTCTAAAGCCTCATGTGGTCATAGCTGTGGCTTTTTCAGTGACGTTGAATCTAGGATATGTGATGCTTGGATTAAGGGTGTGTGGTTCCAGTGACTGGTTTGGCACCAGCCTAATCTCGGTAACTTGGATACAACATACAGGACAGAAAGAGCTGTCTTCTCCCTTGCTTGCTTGCTTTTGCAGTCTTCTGCCTACCATGAACTGTTTCTCCTTTGCGATGTCCCTCTGCCAAGCCACCCTGCCTTGGAGTCAGCCGATTATGGACAGAAACCAACACCAGATGATTTCAAAGAATTCACTTAGAAAACATGTATAGTTCCACAGGAAACTACTGTGGAACAGGGAATTAATCTGAGATATGAGTCAGTAACAATGGAGGAATGGGTTTAACAAGACATACAAAATTCAAGTATTTTAAAGTATATACTTTATTAAAAATAGTTAATTTGAAATATATCACTCTAAAAAACATGTTATTGGTAGTCAACTGTCTCACAAAAGGATCATTTCAGCTTTACCTCCTATTGCCACAGCAGCGCCTCTAGTTTTCAGATGAAACAACTTTGCTCAAGTAGGATCTCTACTGCCCTCTGGTGGTGACTCAGCAATACTTGTGTCTGAGGAAAGTTAACAGTTCAAAGAGCAGATTTTATGCGTGATGGGCAGTAGCAACTTTCACTGTCTGGAGGAAGCACCCCCAAGAGGGTTTATCCTGTAGGAAAACTGCTCTTCCAAACGACACTCAGCCAAAATCACACAAAAAACTGTCTGTGTTTTCAATCACTGCCTTCTTTAAAAAAAAAAAAAGACAAACCGGACAATATAGATGGGAGAGAATATAGGAAAGCACAAAGTAACTTAGGCTGCCATCTCTATGCCTCAGGAAGGCTAACAAGACAGTGAAAATTACAGAAGAAGCTTGGCATGTAAGAAAGGCTTTCTTTGTGCCCTGATTTTTCATTTAGTCTTTATAAAAATTAATCCCCTAATCAACTTCAGGTCCACACTCCTGAGAGCAAACGGCCTTTAAGCAGGCCTTCTTCTGAAGGCACAGGTCAGCAAAGCCTAAGTTCATTCTCTAGACCAAACACTTTGGACTTGAGGTTCTTCAGTTCTTCTTGGATCTTATGTGTCCGCCTATTGCTGTTGCGCAGCTCACACAAAATGGCCAGGTCCTGGTTTGCTTGAGTACTCACTGTTGCCTAGAGGTTTAAAAAAACAAGAGGAAACGATCATGGAATAAATCAGGGAAAAGAAATCAGTCACACAGGCCAGGCTATGCTAGCTGGCTCCTTTTTACGGATTCTTAGTACACACAATAAATCTAATCCTTGGTTTGCTCGGTGACTAACTTACAGAAAATGTAGAGTTAAAGCAGAAAGGCAAGATACTCTGCTTTACATATAACAGTAAAGGAGCTTTGAGATAAAGATCAATAATGAACAGACCAACATAAACATTACTGGTAAATTTGCCAAAGAATAAAAGTATCACCTCTTCTTAAACGTATTCAGAATGTAACAAACACTAGGATATGTGGATGACTAGTCCAATCTCTAACCTTGAGGCAATTTGAACTCTAAAGAGCCAAGTCTTGGAAAAGCTACTTTATTAATTATTCACTTTTACCATTCGTAAAAACAGAGATAACTTCTAATTTCTTGATTAAGCAGGGAAAGATGACAGTGTCTGAGTGTAGTCTACCTGAAAGTACTGAGCAAGCCAATGCATTACTTCAGGTTTGGTTTTTCCCCTCCAGTGTGTGCTAGCTGGGCTGATTTCCAGGGAGCCTGAAGGATGATGCTATGGTTTGGAGATGTATGTTCCCCAAAAGGCTCACTGTGTTGAAGGCTTGGTTGCTGATGGGCTTTTGGAAAGTGATCAGATCACAAGAGCATGAACTTCATCAGCAGATGAACCATGATTTGATGGCATTATGGGGAGGTGATAGAATTAGGGTGTAAGTCATGGGGGGCAGGACTTTGGGGACTATATCTTGTCCCTGACTTCTTCCTCTCTAGCTTGTCCTTGCTTCACTTCCTGGCTGCTCTGTGATGAACAGGTTTCCTTCACCACAAACTTCTGCCATTATAGTTAGGCCTTGGTGCCAGCTGGCTGTGAATGTAAATCTCTCAAACTGAGTCAAAATAAATCTCTTTTGGGCTCAGGATTTAGCTCAGCAGCATAAGCACCTGCCTTGCAAGCAGGCAGTCGTGAGTTCAATCCCCGGAACCGATTTAAAAAAAAAAAAAAAAAAATCTCTTTTGCTTTAGATTGTTAATGTCAGGTATCTGATCACAACACTGTGAAGCCAAGTAACAGAGGGCAATCCATCAGTCTACCACCAGGGAAATGGCCATCTTCCTTGTGGGGTGGAGCTAGGGAAAGAACCAAGCCTGTACCCCTAAATGTCTTTCTCTAGAGGAGCCTTTGTGACAGGGTCCACACTTCCACCCGTCTGCCTGAGGCAACCTAAGACCAGCAATCACCTTGTACAACATTTGCTCCAAGTCTTTCAGTTTCTGTCGAAGAACCTTAATATCTGTCTTAAAGCCCTGTACTTCCAGGTTACGTCGGTGCTCCAAGGCCTCATAGCGTTTCGTCATTATCTGCAAACGCTTCCCCATCTTGTTAGAGCGATCCTAAATACAGGGATAGGAGGGCATTTGTGAAGTGGGGGAAGCATTCCCCAGCTGCCTGCACTCCACCTCCATCGCAATGTACAAAATTTATACCTTGAAGATCTCTCTTCGCACTCCCTCCTCCTCTCGGCTTCGGGCCAGTTCTTCTTCCAAGGAGATGCACTGCTGTTGGTACATGTTGGACAGCTTCTTCTCTTGCGCTAACTTATCCTTTAAGGACTGGAGGCCAAGTGGACAAAGATTAATTTTCAGGTTCACAATTTAGGTTATTCAAATAGCACTTTACAGAAAAAAAAAAGAAACAGGAAAAAAGGATTTCCAGAAGTATGAAATGAAGCAAGGAACAAGACAACAAGGTACTTTGCAGAACATCTAGAAACTTCCTATTTCTCAGCGAGATCAGGTGTATTCAGGGTGGTGTGACCATAGACTGGAAACTTCCTGTTTCACAGTCTTTTTTTTTTTTTTTTTGTCTTTTTCATTTTTATCGGTACCAGGGATCGAACTCACGACTGCCTGCTTGCAAGGCAGGCGCTTATGCCGCTGAGCTAAATCCCTAGCCCAAACTTCCTGTTTCTATTCTTTTAGCACTTTTCTAAAATGTACATGGTAGAAATTCTTTAAAATAAAACTTTAATAGTTAAGAATTTGTCCCAAGTAAGACATTATGATATATATTTTGGGCCACACTTCATAAAGCCTTTTTTTCTTTTTTTGAGATAGGAACTTGCTATGTAGTTCCAAACTGGTCTTGAGCTCACTATGTAGTCCAGGCTAGTCTTGAATCATTGTGATCCTTCTGCCTCGGCCTCCCAAGTGCTAGGATTGCAATCACATACTACCACATCCAGTGAGAAAGTTCTTTAAAAAGGAAAAAATAATACTTTCTATATACATTCCACTAAGCAGACAAGATGATCTTTTACAAATCAAAGCTGGGTATGATGGTGCATGCCTAAAATCTGTGCACTGGGGAGGCTAAGGCCAGAGCATCACTGGTTCTTTTTTTTAACTTTTTGTTTTGCGGTACTGGGGATTGAACCTATAACCTCGTGCTTGCCAGGCAGGCACTTATGCCGCTGAGCTAAATCCCCAGCCCGCATCACTGGTTCTTAGTGCAACGCAATGAGCAGATCACCTCTACTGCACCCTTTGGCCATTATGTGTAGACCTGAACTATACAGTAAGCCCCATTTTAACAAATAAGCCTAAACCAAAACAAAAACCCTTAAATCAGATCTAGTATGACTTAGGAGGCTAGGGCAGGAAGATGGGAAGTTTGAGGCCAGCCTGAGCAATTTAGTCTTGTGTCTCAAAATAAAATATAAAAAGTATTGGGAATATACCTCAGTGATAGATCCCCATGGGCTAAATGCTCAGTTCTGCAAACAAATACATAAATACAAAACAAAAAGCAAAAAATAAAAAAAAACAAAAACCTTTTCTTTCTTTTTTTTTTTGGTACTGGGGATCGAACTCATGACCTCGTGCTTGCCAGGCAAGTGCTTACACCACTGAGCTAAATCCCTAGCTTGTTTTTGTTTTTTAGAGACAAGGTTTTATCATGTAATTAAGGCTGGCCTGTACTTACTGTGTAGCCCAGGCTGGCCTCCAATTCACACTGATCCTCTTGCCTCAGCCTCCCCAGTGCCACTATGCCTCACTAAAAACAAAAGTCTTAAGTCCAATGCTTTTTCTTTACCCACAATCCCTTGAAAGCACAATGTTTGCAATGAGGTTCATGCTCCTGACCAGGAATGCAGAAGCCCTTTCAGACTGGCTGCCCGATGTTTCACGCCTCTCCATTTCACTTGCTAGTGAGTACACCCACGTACACAGCCTTCCTTTTCCTTGCATAAACTCCAAAACCTTGAACTTTGTTTCTCCCTCTGCTGGAAAGGCCTCCCCCAGGTTAACAGGGAACGCTGGTACCAGGTTGCAGGTCTCAGCAGAAACATCAGGCACACGAGTGTCCCTTCGTTGTGAATGCTGGTGCATGTCCATAATCTCAGCACTCGGGGGCGGAGGCAGGAGATCGCTGTGAGGTCAAGGCCAGTGGGGCCACCCAGGTAACAAGTCCAAGACCAGTCTGGCTATGCCGTAAGACTGTGTCCTTGTATACCCTTCTCTACCGGGCTTCTAGCAATTATGTATTATCTTCATACAATCTTCTTACTCCTTTGATATCATTTTTATAGCCTATGATTTCTTGGTTGTTAATGTTTCTGGTTTTCTACTCATTAAAATGTGAATACCATCAAGAACAGGGCTTGTCTAGTTTATGCACTGCTGTAGTCCCACAGCCCAGCCTATTTGTTGAGTGAATAATCAATCAATAGTCAAAAATGTTAAGTCTAAACACCATAATGATCAATGACTCTTTGAGATCTATTTCATGAAGCTGCTGCTACCCCAGCTTCCTGGACTGAAGGAATCTTACATGGCAATCTAAGTTTTTCAGAATTCTCTTGAACTTTTTTAACACCTCCAGAAAAATAAACAATTTCTGTAATACAGAAAGACATTACCTTAATATATTCATTTTGAGTTTGATGATTGTCACATAAAATTGGGCAAACTTTTTCAATTTTATCTTCTTTCTTCTTATGCTGCACTCTACATTGCTTAATTTTTGACATCAAATGATCCTTTTCAAGCATCCATGACTTCTCTTTATTTTGATTTTCAAATTTCAGTTGCAAAAAGTCTTTGGTGCTCTCATACAAAAGTTCTTGGGTACGATGGAGACTACGAAAGAACAGATACAGACATGAAGATTCTTACACAGCACATCTGAAATACAGTTCTTCCAGAAGAGAAGATACAGATTCTTTAAAACTGAACCATAGGGCCGGGAATTTAGCTCAGTGGTCTAAGCACCTGCCTGGCAAGTGCAAGGTTGTAAGCTCGATTCCCAGTACCAAAAAACAAAACAAAACCTGAACCATGATCAGGTGTGGTGGTGCATTCCTGCAGTCCCAGCACTCTGGGAGGCTGGAGTAGGACTGTTAATTCAAACCCAGAGTGAACAGTATGGTAGCTTAAAAAGACTGTCTCAAAATAAAAAAATAAAAAGGGATGAAGCTGTAGCTCAGTGTAAAGGTCCTGCATTCAATTTCCAGTACCACCAAAACAAACATACAAAACCAATATAAGAATTTTGTAAAATATTAGAAGTTTTAGTCTTATGATCACTGGCAATATTATATGCTTTACAATGCAAAGTGTAACGTATCCACCCAAGCTTCCTTATTCACAGATTGGCCTCTACCTTTGTGCTAATCTAAGGTTATATGATTAAAAGGGTGACAGAAATATTTATATATAGCCCGCTAAGTCTGGACCATTCCTAGGAATGATGTTCCAAATAAGTGTTAATAGAAATTCTAAAATACCAAAAACAGCTTTGCTTTTGATTATACTGTGCTTAAGTGTGATTGCCTTGTATCACAATCTTTTGTTTTTACAGATTGATTTCCTTTATGGAATCATCTCAATACTTCTACACTATTTTAATTTCTCTAAAATGCCTTACCAGTTTTAATATGTGCCTTCTTATTTATCCAGCTTTTTGTCAGTGACCAAACACCTGAACCCACATTCTAAAGGAAGAAATGGCTTATTCAGCCCATGGTTCCAGAGGATTGACTCCATGGCAAGCTGGTTCCAAGGCAGGAACATCGTGGCAGGACTTCATAAAGCAAAGCTGCTCATTTCATGATGGCCGGAAGCAGGGCAGGAGAACAGCACCCGTGAGGCCAGGAAACAGATGCAGTACCAAGGCCACACTCCATGAGCCGCCCAGACACACCCACAGGCGTGTTTTAATTGCCTGGGCAGCTCTTAAGCCATTTTTGTTTGTTTGTTTTTTAAGATCCCATCTCGCTGAGTGGTTTAGGCTGGGCTTGACCTCCCTGTGCAGCACGGGTTGGCCTGGAACTAAGGGTGGCCTTTTGCCTTCATCTCCCAAGTGATGGGATCACAGGTGTGCGCCACCATGTTTGTCTAAAGCCAATTAAATTGACAATCCAGGCTACTTCCCTTTGTCAACTCAATACTCAAACATAACTCTTTAAATTATACTTCATCACCAAATAAACGCAGGTCATAATTCTGCCTAACACAATATAACTGCCCCACATACATCCAAAAATAATCACAGGTTGTAATTCTGTCTAACATGATGAAACTGTCCCACATACAAACAAAAAATGCACTCATGTTGTGCCCGGAGTCTTAGCAGTTCAGCACTGCGCAAAAGTCCACGTCTAAAATCTCCTCTGAGACTCAAGGGAAACTCTTAGCTCTAAATCCCTGGAAATACAAAATACCAGTTAGATATTGCCAACATACAACAGTACAGAGTAAACACTACAAAAGAACAGAACCAAAGCAAGACCTAAACTGAATAGAGCAAACATTAAATCTGACAGTTCTATGGCTGGCACCCACAACTATAGTGGTGAGATGAGCGCCACCAAGCTTGAGTAGACAAATGATGTATGTATCTTCAAAAAAGAATAATCCTAGAAACCGGCAACTCATTAGTTTAACATCAACTCTTTTTTTTTTTTTTTTTTTTTTTTGGTCTTTTTGGCTTTTATCGGTACCAGGGATCGAACTCACGACTGCCTGCTTGCAAGGCAGGCACTTATGCCATTGAGCTAAATCCCCAGCCCCAACATCAACTCTTAGAACAACACTACACTGAGTGACCGACTGCCTGCAGACGTATTAAATATCATGAGACAATGGCTATAGTTTTCTACTGAACAAATAATGTTCCTTTCATTAGTGACAGAATACAAGAGAGTGGAAGGTGATGGCACTGTCCCATGCACAGGGCTCAGCAGATGCTCCAAATGTTCTGGCGTGGTTACGGTGTACACAAAGGAGAGGCTTAATCAGTTACCCACAGGACTCCACAGGCTCTCTCCTGCTTTCAATGAGTAATTTTATTCTGTTACATCGTGTTCTAAACTCCATGCAGATACACTATGGTCTGAGGTACAAGTGACTGGAAAGTAACACCCCAAAGACAGTCTAGTGGCCGAGCACATTGCTGGTGAGCCTCTCAGAGCTTTCAGTGACACAAGCAGCACACTGCAGCACGTGTGCCACAGGTTCGCCAAAAGCAGTCTAAGATTTTAAGTATTCAACGTATTTAAGATTGTGTTCCTTAATGGGAGACAGGGACCATGTGCTCAGATATGCAGATAATGCCGAACTAGATAGTTACTAATATTCCAGAAACATAAAATTGCAAATTCTGGGCTTGAGCTGTAGCTAGGCAGCAGAACATTTGGCTAGCATGTGTGAAGCCCTGGACTTGATCCATACTGTAAGAACAAAAGGAAGAGAGAGAAAAATTTTTTATAATTTAAGATGTTTGGGCTGGGGATTTAGCTCAGCGGCATAAGCGCCTGCCTTGCAAGCAGGCAGTCGTGAGTTCGATCCCCAGTACCGATAAAAAAGAAAAAGACAAAAAAAAAATTTAAGATGTTTAATGCAAAAAAACACATGTACACCTTGATAAGGATCATCAAATATATTCAACACACATTTATTGTGTGACTGCTGTGCACACGGGCAAGGCAAATGTTGTATGGCAGGACCCTAGAAAACAAAGACATAATTGCACCATGTGGCAACAGGTGTCAACAGAGAGGCTCACCGATCATTATGGGAATGTGAATGAGGAAGAATTTAATTCTGCCTAGGTAAGTCTTTGGCTGAAGCACAAATAAAAAGCAATAGAAGAGCTGAGGCTAAAAGATTTGTTAATTATCACCTGACAAGATGATAAGTCCCTAAGAATTCACACTGCAGTGTCAAGGTTTGGTAAATGGACAGCAAATATATATTTAAGCAATTGATAACCATTAAGGCAAGAACTAACATGTATTCTAAAAAAGACTCTAGAATACAAAGAGACAAGTGGTAGGAAGAGAGATAACAAATTTGGCTTCAGTAATGGTAAATTTAAGGTGTTCAACACACTCAATAGAGGGTATCTGCATGGCAGAGGTCTGGACCACTGGAACCAAACAAAAGGGTGAGTGTGGCTAAAGAAGTCAAAGAACCAAGACACACAGGTGCTGCAGAACTCCAAGGAGGTGAGTTTCAATGAAGGAGTGATCATGATGTTGCATACACTGAAAGATACGAAATACAATGAGAGCCAATACAGGATGACTAGCCTCAGAAATTAAGAAGTCAATGATCTTGGAAAAGGTACATTTTGGTAAAAGGATGTGTGTGTGTGTGTGTGTGTGTGTGTGTGTGTGTATCAAATCAGACTGCAGAAAGGAAAGGAAAGGAAAGGAAAGGAAAGGAAAGGAAAGGAAAGGAAAGGAAAGCAGATAAAGAGTAAAAATGCTAGGGGCTGGGGATTTAGCTCAGCGGTATAAGCACCTGCCTTGCAAGCAGGTGGTCAGGAGTTCAATCCCAGGACCCGAGTAAAAAATGCTGACTATTCAGAAGTTGCACTGTATACTTTTTCTTTTGATACACAGTCTTGTTATATTGCCCAGGCTGGCCTCAATTCCCGTGTTCATGAGATCCTCCTGCTTCATCCTAAGCAGCTGGGAGTACAGGTAAATGCTACCATGCCCAGCACACAGCATTTTTTTTCAGGTATAAAATCATGAAAGGCCAAACAAAAGGAAAGGTTCATGTTATTCTGTGTAAGATAATACTGATGGATAAAGAACATTTCTTAGCCACTCAAATAAAACTAAACTGGGTTAAAAGGAGCATATGGAATATTTACTGTTCTTCAACAGAGTTAAAAGAACTGATTGAGAGTATGCCTGGAAAAGCCTAGACATTTCCTCCCTGAAGGCAGCAAGTTCTTCAAGGTCCATTTCAGTTCCATACTCCCCTGTTGCTGCGGTATAAAACTGTTTCTTTTTTGTTTTGTAATGCTAGGGATGGAACTCAGGGCTTTGCACAAATGAGGCAAGTGCTCTACCACTGAGCCACACTGGCAGCCTGAGAATTAATATGTAAGCTGCTCAGAGAAACCAAATACTCATTAGGTTCATGTTTCTTGAACACTCACCTTTTGGTTAGCTCTTTGACTTTGTCCTGATTTCTCTGGTGCTGAACTTGTATTTCCTCAATGCGAAGACGTCTGTCCTCCATGAGCCCTTCGACTTGTTCCCTGGAGAGCCTGGTCTGCTCTTCCAGCTGTGCCTGCAGTGCTTCCACCTAGAAGGCCAATAGGGTAGACACCACCCGTGTTTCCACTGTGTCTCCCTAGCAGTGAGCGCCTCCCTGGAAACACAACAAGAAAAACGACCCCCCAAAACAAAAACACAGAAGCAAAACAAACAGCAGCAAAATCTCAGCTCTAATCCTCCTATTTAATGTCTTCTTTGAGGGAACAGGGTCTTGCTATGCACTTCAGGCTGGCTTTGAACTTACTATGCAGCCCAGACTGGCCTCAAACTCCTGGTGATTCTCCTGCCTCAACATCCCAAGTGCTGGCATTTTAGGTATGCACCACCATGACTGGCTTAGTGCCTTATAAATGGGGTTGCACAACACAAGAACAGATTCTTTGTCCACACTAAGCTCACATCCGTATCATATAGGGAAAGCTACAAAATCTGTTTTTCCTGACCTTCTGCTTCTTGCCTTTAGGAATATTAAGACTTTTAAGATGTACTGATCATGGGGCTGGGGATTTAGCTCAGCGGCATAAGCGCCTGCCTTGTAAGCAGGCAGTTGTGAGTTCGATCCCTGGTACCGATAAAAATGAAAAAGACAAAAAAAAAAAAAAAAAAAAAAAAAAGATGTACTGACCACACAGAAGCAGAATGACTTAGGTTACAGTGAAATGAACATGTCATTTCCTTTTCTGAATCTGGCTGCCACAACTACATGGAGATAACTGGCCAAAGGTAGAAACTGTCACATAAATCATGGCCCTACTCAAAGTACAGCAACTTGATACAAAATCATGGTTCCAAATACCAGGTGGTAAGAAAATGATTTATTTACTTCCTGGACTTTAGAGCTTATGCACTAAGTAAATATCAATACAGACAGACTTCCCTTTGTACTCCTCAGTATACCCTACGCTAAGCACAGGTGATTTAGGGTTTTTTTGTTGGGTATGGCTCTGCATATAAAGTGAAGGTTCAAAGAAGTCCTTCTGAAATGTTCCAATAGAAAGTAATGGTTTTTAAATACAAATTAGAACAACCTCAATTTCTTAAGTACATGTTGCCTAGATGCATCCTATGTGCAAGGAGATATACAACATCAAGGGCATGTCACAGAAAGATCAATGTGAGAATAAAAACTCTCAATCTGCCAAAATGAATACATTACTTGCAGAATGAGTGCTTGTGTGTCTCTCTGGTAATGCTCAGAACTGTCTTCCTTCTCTCTCATTGATGGTCTTTTGTTGTTTACTTTAGGATCTAAAATAGAAAAGAAAAATTCATCATGAAGATTTTACTTAGCTCTTCTTGTATCTATCCAAGTTCCAAGGATGAGCATTAACCTTGCCTAGGAGCTGTTTCCTTTACCAAAAAGAGAAAGAAAGAAAACATGTGATAACTACAGAATGAATTATGAAGAATTGTTATGACAGGATTTCACCTGCATAACCAATTCATCTTTTGATGGAATTAGCTGTTGAATGTTCCTTTGGATTGTGCCTATTTTCTAGTAAAACTGTATTTAATCTGAACCAGAAATCATCCCTATCCATTCTTTAAAACAAATTTAAATAATTTGGTTATGACGTATCCCTCAATTTTTAAAAGTAAAGGTAAAAAGTTGAGAGTGGTGGCACACACTTGTAGTCCTAGCAACTGGGAGGTCGAGATAGGAGGAGCACAATGAGTTCCAGGTCAGCCTAGGCTACATAGTGAGTTCAAGGCCAGCCTGGACTATACAGTGAAACTCTGTCTCAAAAAAACCTAGGGGAGAAGAAAGAGAGAGGGGAAAAAAGGTAATTTATTTTTTCTTGAGATAGGGTCTCACTATGTAGTTTGGGCTGGCCTTGAATTCACTATGTGTAGCCCAGGCTGACTTTGAACTCATGGCAATCCTCCTGTCTCAGCCACCAAAGTGCTAACATTACAGATGTGACCAATCAGGCCTGTCTAAAAATAAAAGTAGCTTTCAAAAATGCACAAGAAAAAAATAAAAATACACAAAACTGAATCCTGCACTGAGGTTTACGAAGCCTGGGAAGGGTGTGAGAGAGGGGAGGAGGGAAAGAGGCAGTTAATAAGTACAGGAGTGTAGTTCAAAAAGGATAATTTCTGCTGGGCTCGGTGGCTCACACCTATAATTTCAGTACTTGGGAGGCTGAGGCAGGAAGATCGCTGCAAGTTCGAGGCCAGCCTGGGGTAGAAAAGGAGTTCAAGGCCAGCCAGAACTGCATAGTGAAACCCTCTCCCCACGCCACTAAAAAAGATAATTTCTAATGTGCTATATGGCTTAGGGGAAAACTAAGGTTGACAATAATTAACTGTACATCTCAAAATAACTAGAACAGAGGATCTTTACAAAGAAATGGCAAATGTTTGAAGTGATAGGCATCTTGATCTGATCGGCATACAAAGTAAACATGTAATGGAATGCCATACTGCACTCTGTAGATATGTATAATTATTGTGTTAATTTAAAACAAAAATGCATTAAAATAAAAAAGAAGAAACCAGGAATTGCACAAATTTTAATTTCTTTTTTCTTTTTTTTTTTTGGTCTTTGTCGTTTTTTATCGGTACCAGGGCTCGAACTCATGACTGCCTGCTTGCAAGGCAGGTGCTTATGCTGCTGAGCTAAATCCCCAGCCCCACAAATTTTAATTTTTAACTGAAGAAACTAAGAAACTCAAAATTTTTTTTTGGTACCAGGGATCAAAGTCACGACCTTGCACTTGTGAGGCAGGCTTTTATGCCACTGAGCTAAATCCCCACCCCTAAAACTCAGACTTCAGACTCAATACAATAGTCACCAATTATCACTGTATAGTGGAATGAAATTTCTAGTAATTTGCATAGTGATTTTCAATTTGGCATCAACGAGAATTTCTAAAAATATGGTTGTTACCTGCTTTTGAGGCCAAAGACTCGTTCAGTTCACACGTACCTACAGCCTGGTGAGTGTTTTGGAGAATGCTGACCTGAAGATGGAAGAAAGGACAGGGAAACAACCTTCCTGTACTTAAACATGAAGTTTTACTGTATAGCCTTAGCTCTTCAGATCCAGTACTATTTATAAACTGAATTTATCAAAATTGATTAAATCATATATGGGTGCCACATATACAACACGCAACATGATCGAAGTTTTTAGAGAAAGTCCAGTTATTGCATAAACTGGCTGGGCATGGTGGTGCACACCTGTAACCCCAGCAGCCAGGAGCCTGAGGCAGGAGGACCACAGCGAGCTCAACACCAGCCTAAACTGCATAGCAAAACTCTGTCTCAACAAGAACCTGCATGGCATGTGCAAGGTTTTAAGTTTGATCCTCGGTACTAAAAAAGAAAAAAAAATATATATGAACTGAACTGCAAAAATAAAATCACAGGGCTACCGAATAAAAAATACTTAGTACTCTTAGAAACCATTTTTTGGAAAGAAATAGAAACACAGAAATATGTGTAAGTAAATCTGAACAAAAAGGCTATTAAGCCAGGTATGGTGGCACAGGCCTATAATCCTAGCATACTACGATGCTGCTGAGGCAGGAGGGTCACAAGTTCAAGCTCAGCCTGATAGCTTAGCAAGACACTGTCTCAAAAACAGGCTACAGTCAGGTGTGGTGGCTCACGCCTGTAATCCCAGCACTTGGGAGGCTGACATAGGAGGATCATTGCGAGTTTGAGACCAGCCTGGGCTACAAAGTAAGCTTCAAGGCCAGCCTGAACTGCATAGCGAGACCCTGTCTCAAAAAGACAAAAAAACCCCCCAAAAAACAAACTAAACAAACAAACAAAAAAAACCCCAGGCTGTAAAAAGAAAACAAAAGAGAAAAGGTTGTAAAAGGTATGTCCAATCCCAAAAAGAAAAAAATTCATTGAGAAATTATCTCTAACGGGGAAAAACTGTAAACAGTTTGCACACACACAAGTATTCATTTATGAATGGAAAAAAAGAGCTAGAAGGACATACACTAAATTATTAACAATGTTTATGTCTAGGACAAAGGATTAGAAAAAACTGCCACTTTTATATGATAGATTTCTGTACTCTGTGGTTTTATTGGTGTGTATGTGTGATTTTTGCTTTGATTTTGAGACAGAGTCTTCTGTGTTGTCCAGACTAGAGCCAAATTCTTGGCCTCAAATGAGCTTCCTGAGTGGCTGAGACTAGGTGTCTATCCCCGTACTAGGTTGTATTTGCTTGCTTATTTATTTATTTGAGACAGGTTTCATTATGTAGTTCATAGCACTTGAAAGGCTGAGGCAGAAGGATCACAGCAAGTCTAAAATCAGTCTGGGCTCCATAGTGAGTTTAAGATCAGCTTGAACTACACAGTGAGATCCTCTCTCAAAAAACAAAACCAAACCCGGAAGATGTTTAGAAAACAGAGAAAGTGGGTAGATAGCTCACTACTCTGCATGTGACTTTCTCAGCAAGCACCAGAGTTATCCTCACCTCAATGGCCACACTCATCCTGCTGCATGAAGCTCACTTACCTTATGGGGAGGCTCCTTGTAAAAATAGGTCACTTCTTTGGTGTCTGTTCCCACAAGAGCCAGAAGACTCTGAATCTTTTTCTTGTCTTCTAGTTCCCTGCAATTTTTCCAGAAAGAAAGCATACAATGTATGTTCCAAATGAGTAATCTTTCCTGTTTCAAGACCTTTCTTCTGTTTTGTTGTTATAACGAAGTAACCTCAAATGAAAATTGAACAGGATTTATCTAGATTTTTGGCACTAGTTTTTAAGATAGGTACTTCCACTTAAGAATTCAGAGAGAAAGGGGCTAGGAAGTCATTTCTCAGCTGCTTCAAGGACAGCATAGCAGATGAGGAAGAATACCGCCCTGTCCATTCAGCACCAACCAGCCCTTTCTCCAAATGCCAGGAACGTGTGTATGGTGGCTAATGGTCTACTCTCTGTACCAAACGGCGCTCAGCCAGAGGAGCCACTTTACTTACTGAGGCCTCCCATTCCTTAAGGAGTGCTTGCCTTCAGTGCCTACTCAAGGAGAGGTACAAAAATCTAGTCTCCTTAATTAAACTTAAATGGGTCTAAAGAGCGATCCCAGCTTCTGAACCCACTGTGATGCTGGCTGAGCCCCAGTGTAACTGATCCATTCGAGGTTCTCTACCTGCCCAGTCAGGCTTTCCTTATCCCCTCATTTGTGGGAATTTTTCAGAAAGGTCCCCAACAGCCTTCCAGCAAGCAAACCTCCACTGTTTAGTTTGTTTCCCAGGAACCCAACCCAAGACACGACTGCACCAAGAGAAACTGCAGAGCTGAAGAGTTACAGGTATGGAGCTACTTATGAAGCCCAGTGTTCTAGGAGCAGGATGGGCATATCAGGGTATAGTTTAAAGCATCAATCAAAGGTGCAAAAGAAGCTGAGGGCCATGCCCCATGAGAAATCAGGCTCTCTGGCTCATTTTCCATGTATTAGTTAAACAAGAGGCTGGATCTCTCTGGAGGCAAGACTCTGTAACACCACAAGCAAGTGCCCATAGCAACGGTTCTCCCGGTTTCTTATTACAGGACCCATGGTGATCCACACAAGAAATCATACAGGGGAAAAGGATTAACCAGGTGTCTCAAGGGTGGCTGGATAGAGGGTGTCCAATACCTGGTAATCTGAAGCAGCTTTATGGCATTGGGTATATGGGAACCATATAATTAATGGAATTTTGGCCCACATCCACCTCACAGTGCATCTACTGGATCCATAGATCCAGCCACTGATCATTTTCCCAGTTCCCAAACGTATCATTAGAATGCACGCAGTAGTTGGGAGAACTCCAAATTAGTTTTTTGGATTATGAGGTAAGTCAAACAGAAGCTTCCGAAAGTACTCATCCCTACCCAGACAAGATGGTAAACAAAGACCTAAAAGATGTAGAGGGCTAGATCCTTACAAAACCAGGTATGACCTGGACAACAGGAAATAGATCCTGGAAGATAACAGACTTCAATCAAGTGAATTCCCCTGTGCCAGAAGTAGTATCTTCCTAGAGCAGATTAAATTGGTCTTAGGTATAAGGAATGTGGTCGCTGATTTGGCAAATGCTGTTTTTTTTGAGATAGGGTCTCATTTTGTAGTTCAGGCTGGCCTCAAACTCGTGGCAATCCTCCTGCCTCAGCCTCTCAAGTTCTGGGATTGCAGGCATGCACTAACTACCATGCTCAGTTGGCAAATGCATTCTTTTCTATCTTTCCACAGGTCAAAACCACTTCCCTTTCAGGTGAAGTGGGGAGGAGTACACTTTCATAGTCTGCCCTTTGGCAGTGTTAACTCTGTTGCGCTGTCAATATAGCATAAAAGAATCTCGACCTGGTCATGTGTAAGATCAGATGAATTTACTACTGATACCACGTTAAGTTAGGTTGCACAAACAAGCAACAGCAAGTGCAGGAACTCTTGGTAAGACATGTGTGTGCCAAGGGCTGATGATAAACCTTGCAAAGCACATGAGTGAAGTTTCCAGGGGTTCTATCGAGGCACACCTGGACACTGCCTCCAAAGTGAGACAAATTACTACATCTTATACCTATTACCACCAAGAAGAAAGCGTAATGCCTGAAAGGTCCTAGAGACAGCATATTCCACACTTGGGAACACTGTTCTGACCTATTTATATAAACTGACATGAGAAGCAAGCTTTCACTGTGGCTCAGAATTGAAAGGAGAGGCTGGGGATATAGCTCAGCAGCACAAGGTCTGCTTGGCAAGCAGAAAGTCATGAGTTTGATTCTTGGCACCCACCCCTCACACACACACACACACACACACACACACAAATTGAAGGAGGCTCTGTTTGTATTAAGTTAAAGATGTACTAAAGCAGCTCATGACCAAACGTGGTATCTGTGCTTGGGACAAGCTGTCATATGGGTTTTATGGCAGAGCTCATTGTAAGAACCATAACATAGTTAGGAGATTATGGAGCAAGACCATGCCATTTAGGGTTCAGAATCATATAAATTTGAAAAACAGCTTCTGGCATGCTACTCAATCCTGCTACAGATAGACTGATTGGTATCAGAACACCAAGAAAGCATGTGGCTTACTCTTTTCAAAAAGTGGCCCAGGGAAACTGGATCTCCACATGCAAAAGAATAAAGTTGGACCTTTACTTAATATCATATGTAAAAATTTACTCCAAATAGATTGAACGTCTAAATGTAAGAGCCAAAAACTATAAAATACTTAGAAGAACAGAGAGGAAAAGCCTCTTGATGGAAGACTTGTGAAAAAAAATAGACAAACTAAATTAAAACAAAGTTTAAAACTTCTGTATATTAAAGAACACTATTAAGAAAGTGACCTGGAGCCAGGTGTGGTGGTGCACTCCTGTAAAGAAAAGCTGCTCAATATTATTCATCATTAAGGAAATATGAATCAAAGGAAAATGAGTATCTGCTCACATCAATTAAAACTGCTATCAAAAAAATAAAACAAGGGTGAGGATATAGCACAGTACCTGCCTGGCAAGTTCAAGGTTGTGAGTTTGATTTCCAGGACCAAAAAATAAATAAAACAAATGTCGGCAAGGATACAAAAAAGGAATTCACTGGGAGAAATGCAAAATGTGCAGCCGCTATGAAAAGCAGTAGGACAGTTCCTTTAAAAATTAAAAATAAAATTACCATATTATCTAGAAATTCCACTGCTGGACAGACACCCGAAAGCACTCAAAGCAGTCTTGTACAGATATTTGCACACCAGACTTAATGCCACTGAATTCTACACTTAGAGAAGGTTAAAACGCAAAGTTCTTTGTGTATTCGTTTTCTCTCTCACATACAGAAAAGCACTGCAGCAGATGCTGTGGCACATTGTTCAGATGTACCTATTACCATGAAGACACCCATCTTCCAGGCACCGAGTCCCTCTCCAAGAACTACACGTGGCTGAAGGCGGCCAACTGTTCAATTTTACACTTAGACCCCTTCTGAAGCATTCTGTATCCAAGGACTATCCATGCCCGTTGGAAGGTGACTCTAACACTAGTTCCCTGTGGAACTGGTACAGCCTCTCTTACCACTGTACCACAGTTCAAACTCTCCCACAGGTGCTCTATGCCCAAACACTCTTCTCACAGGTGTTACTCTTGAGAGCCTCCCTTGTTGCTGTACTGTAGGCAATCTTCATCTCAGAGGCTGTTCAGTGGTGAACAGAACTTCTGACAATAACTGGACATAAATTTATCACCTTCAATGCAATCCAGAGACAGAACTTCAACATTTCCCATATCCTACTTGATACCTGATTCTCAGATGGTCATTTTCTGAATAGAGGCGTAAAACATGTTCCCGTTCCTGGAAAAGGCACACTTGCATATCACTTAGTGCTTTCTGCAATTCAGCAATCTCTTCCTCCCTCTGCTGTAAATTCCATTCAAGTTTATGCTAGGGGGAAAATTAAAAAAAAAAAAAAAGCAGCTGAAGATACTGGGTTTCAATGAGTACCTCTTTTTTAAATTTGTGTTTGATATGCAAGAACCAATTCATGTGGAAACATTCCAAATGGTGGGTCCACCAAATCCAAGTGACAACAGACTGTGTACAGATGTTTACAGAAGTTTAAAAGGTCCAATATGGGCCAGGTGTAGTACTGGACACCTGGGATCCCAGCACTCTGAGGCCGAGGCAGATGAATCACAAGTTTAAATCAAGCTTGATCGAGTTAATGAGAACCTATCTCAAAAAACGAAACAAAACAAAACAAAAAAACACAAGCTGCAGACAAAGCTTATTGTGAAGGCCCTGAGCTCAATCACCAATACTACAATAAATAAATAAAATAAAAGGTCCAAGATGAGCTGGGAGCGTAGCTCAGTAATAGAGAAGGCACTCAGCATGCATGAGCCCCTAGATTCCAATTTTAGCATCAAAAATATTAAAGGAGGGCCGGGGATTTGGCTCAGCAGCATAAAGTGCCTGTCCAGCAAACGCAAGGTCATGAGTTCGATCCCCGGTACCAAAAAATAAAATAAAATAAAATAAAATAAAATAAAGGAAGGCTTCAAAATAAGTATGACATTTACATGTGTCAAAACTCTATCATTCCTGGATCAGGCATATAGCTCAGCAGCACAGCACCTGTCTGGCAAGTGCAAAGTCCTGAGTTCATTTCCCAGTACCAAAAAACCCCCCAAAAAACAAAAACCCAACTCATTCCTATTATCGATGACAGTACCCAGAATGCATATGTGTTTCCCCATTTTATCTACACTTTCTTAGTGATGCTTTTTATTAATAAAGCATTTCTATGACATTCAGTAAAACAGAGATGAGAAAAGATTGGTTCCTGCCAATAGAACTGTGGAATTTCACGGGAAGACATACAAACAATTGAAATAATTATCCAATAGAGAAGCATTGGAATGTGGGCAGGAATAAAATCACTACAGCCAGTTTGAGAAGCCAAGTGCAATCAGAAGAGAGCAGATAAGAGGATGAAGCAAATGGGAGATGGGCTAAAGGGTGCTTTCAGAAAGCAGCAAGCAGGGAACGATGAAACAGTGTAACGTTTGTTGAGAAGGAAGAAAGTCCTGTCATATGCTACAGAAATTATGTTAAATGAAATAAGCCAGTCACACACACACAAACTGTTTATTTCCTTATAAATAAAGTCTCTATACAACTTCACAGCCATCAGTAAAATGCTTGTTACAGGATAAGGACTTGTTTAGTGGGACAGAATCCCAGCTTGTAAAAAAAGTTCTGGAGATCGCTGCACAATGACATGAATATATTTAACACCTTTGGACTGTACACTTAAAATAGTTCAGATAGTTAAAAAGTTTTCACAAAGAAAAAAGTGGCTGGAGTGGTGGCACATATCTGTAATGCCACCACTTGGAAGGTTGAGGCACAGATTCCAAGTTTGAATCCACCTGAAAACTGTCTCAAAATAAAAACTAAAAAGGAGCCGGGCACGGCAGTATATACCTGTGACTCCAGGACTCAGAAGGCTAAGGCAGGAGGAACACTGTCAGTTCAAGGCCAGCCTGGGCTACAGAGTGAGCTCAACAATCAGTCTGAACTACACAGTACAATCTTGCTCACCTCCCGCCAAAAAAAACAAAACAAGCACAAACAAAAAACTAAAAAGGGTGGAGATACAGCTCAGGGTAAAGGCCTGTGTTAAATTGCCAGGATACAATCATTCAGTCAACAGAAAAATTTAAAAAGACAGAAGTGTAGACAGGGAGATGAATTTGTGCTTGTATGGCTTCAACCTTTGGGACAATAATGCTATCATAGATAACAGGGATTTTCTCTGTGATGCTGGGGATTGACTGGTGAGGCAGATGCTGTACTACTGAGCTAGAACCCCAGCTCCAATGATTCTTTATTTTTATTTTTTTTGTGTTTTGTTTTTTTGTCTTTTTCCTTTTTATCGGTACCAGGGATCGAACTGACGACTGCCTGCTTGCAAGGCAGACGCTTATGCCGCTGAGCTAAATCTCCAGCCCCCCCAATGATTCTTTAGATAAAAAACTAATTTAATTGAACATAGGAATAGATGGATATTCAAGTTGATTATTTTTGCTTTTTAGTTATTACTTTTGTAAGCCATGACCACCTCTGGTAAAAGTGGCACTATACAAAATATTTGTCTATTTTTGTCAGTTTTAGATCTTCATTTAATTCTATATTCATAAATATGTATACACATATGTATTTTTTGGCATTGGGAACTGAACCTTGCACTTGTCAGGCAGGCACTTGTGCACTGAGTTGTATCCCCACCACCTCATAAGTATATTTAAATCCAGAAATAAAAAGCTGTGATTGGATTATTAGTTCATCGTAACTCACGGCAAATGCATTGCTTAAGATGCATATAGAAAACTGATCAACTTTTTTGTAGCAAACAAATTTGCATTTTATGCAAAAATTTAGGTTTTAGTTTTTTTTTACACTGATTAGTCAGAACTGCTGTCAGGACCTTAGAGGCAAGCAAATACTTTTGATTTCTCCAAAATAAACAAAAACATGTTAAAACTTTTTTTTCTTGTCTCACTAAGCATTTGGCAAGACTTCTATAATCCTGGCATTCAGGAGGCTGAGCCAGGAGGATTTCTTTGAGTTCAAGGCCAGCCTGGGCTACAAAGTGAGTTATAGGCCAGCATGAACTATATAGTGAAACCTTGTCTCAAAAAAAATTTTTTTTTTTCAGAGAAATTTCTTAAACATCATTTTATTTACTTTTGCCATGCTGGGGATACAACGGGCCTTGTTCACGCTGGGCAAGTGCTTACACTGCCAGGCCTTAGGAAAGGGTCAAAATCCTGTCTTGACTGGGCTTAATGGTGCATTGCCTGTAATTCCAGCACTCAGGAGGCTGAGGCAGAGGGATCCCTGAGACCACATAAGGAGACCCTGTCTCAAAACAAAAAACACTAAAGTAATTCTTTATCTTCTTTTGATTGCTTCTCTCTTGGTCCAAGATAGGCTTTATTACTCATTCACAGTTGGGTATGGTAGCGCACATCTGTAATCCCAGATTACTGAGGCAGGATTACTTTGAATTCCAGGCCAGCCTATGCTACCCACTGAATTCAAGGCCAGCCTAAACTGCATAGTGAGATGTTGTCTCAAAGAGACAAAAGATTCACTTTATATCATCATTCCTGTCTTCATAAATTTTCTTTAGAACACTCATCATTGTCTCATTAATACTGTTACCAGCATCACAGGGAGGCTTTTCTCTCTCTGTATTCTTCAAACTGACTGAGGCAGGAACCTTGCTGCACCTTTCTCACCCGCTCACTTCCTACATAAGAACTTGCCTTTTTTGAACTGCTTTTTAGAGAGGACTTTAATTTTTTTTGAGACAGGGGTCTCACTATGTAGTTCACCTGGCCTTGAACTATGTAGCCATAGCAATCCTCTTGGCTTGGTCTTCCAAGTGCTGGGATTACAGGCATGTGTCACATTTAGCCTGGATTTCATTTTCTAAAATTACATTTATCATCATGTTTGCGGTATGTAGTGATTCACTGCGGGGCATTGGTGCATGTGCATAACACATTTAATTTTTTTTGTTTGTTTGTTTTGTCTTTTTCCTTTTTATTGGTACCGGGGATCGAACTCATGACTGCCTGCTTGCAAGGCAGGCGCTTATGCCACTGAGCTAAATCCTCAGCCCAACACATTTAATTTTTATCTCCCCCTGCCTCCCTTTCACTCTTCCTGCTCTCCATCTGTAGCTCTCCTTCTCATTTAGATTTCTTTACAGATTGAGGCTTTTTGACAATAGGGATTGTACACAAGAATTTCACACTGAATTATATCTTTTTTTTTTTTTGTGGTATCAGGGATTGACCTCACAACCTTAAGCTTGCCAGGCAGGCAGTTATGCCGCTGAGCTAAATCCCCAGCCCTATTTTAATTTGGGTTTGTCTGTTTACTTATTTATCTTGGTTTTTTTTAGAAAGGCTCTCATTATGCAGTTGAAGCTGACCTTATGCTCACTTTGTAGCGCAGGCTGGTCTTGAACTTGCAATGATCCTTCTGTCTCAGCCTTCCGAGTGTTGGTATTACAAGGTGTGCACCACCATGCCTGGCTTGTTTTTCAATTTTTGAGCCAGGATCTCACTAAAGTCACTCACAATCATCCTGCTCCAGCGTCTCAGCATTGTGGAATTACAGGCAATTTGAAACCATGCCCAGCTAGAAAACCTCTTATGTTTGGACAACTACAAGTATTTCAGTAGTGCTAAAGTGAAAAGTATGATGGAGACTAAATAGGCTGGGATAATGGTGAGGAAACTGTAACCCATAGCTTGGGTGAGATATGAAGGTCTGAGCTAGCATCAGCTGCAGATGCAGGAATGGATTAAGTAATTTTTGGAAGCAGAATCAGTAGGACTTAACAAACAAATGATTAGAAGCAGAGGGCTAAGCAGAACTGTAAGCAATTAAACCGTTTACTAAGACTCAGAGTAAAAAGAAAGTGAAGAGTTAAAAATGGGAGTTCTCCCTGGGATAAAAGCATGATAGTACATTCTTGTTATCCCAGCGCTCAGGAGGCTGAGGCAGCAAGATCACTGGGAGTTTGAGGCCAGCCTGGGCTACATAGTGAGTTTGAAGCTGGCTGGAATTTCAGAGAGAGACCCTATCTCAAAAAACACAGTGGGCTGGGGATTTAGCTCAGCAGCACAAGTGTCTACCTGTCAAGTACAAGGTCGTAAGTTCAATCCCTCATACCAAAACCAAAACAAAACAAAAAAACAGAGCAAGGGGATAGTGATATATTATGTCAAAGGAGAAGAGGATAGGAAAAAGGAAATCAATTCAGGTAAGGGCATATTAACTTAGAACTCAGGAGAAAAGTGAATCAGGGTTAATTATTTGGAAGTCATCGTTACACGTATAGTAAACTAATGCATTTAATATCTGAGATTCTTCACAGCAGACTCTGGAGGAACTTGGACATTCAGAACTAAGGAAGGTAGGCACACCTGTAATCCCAGCCCAGTGGGAGACTAAGGCAGAAAAGGTGTAAACTTGAGCCCGGTCTGGAAATTTTAACAAGCCTTTGTCTCAAAATTAAAAAAAAAAAAAAAAAAAATTTAAAGTTGGGGATGTAGCGCAGTGCACAGGCTCTAGGCTCCACCATCAGTACACAAGACATGAATGAATGGGTTCACACATGAGATCCAACATTTCCTGAGAAATGTGGATTACCTGTTAAAAGGCTAAGGGTTTTCAGGCTGCAAGAGAGCTGGGAAGGCATGGCAGAGACACGAAGCACAAGCAGTAATGGAGAGGGAGAATGGACGCACCCACAAGAAAACTGTTGTGCAGTGACTGAAGAAACTCACTCAGTAATGCCTCATGGCCTTTCTGGAAGTGTGTGAATACACACTCCTCCATTGCTCCCCACCCCTGCCCTAGAAATATGTCACAATGTCTGGACAGTCTTGACAATCAGGAGGGTTGTGCTGCGGATATTTGGAGGGTAGAAACCAGAAAGGTCAATAAACATCCTATCACACACAGCACCCCCAAGGCACAAATACCAGGCCCATGTCAGTAAGGGCTAAGGTTGAGAAACACTGCTCCTGGAGAACAGGTGGCAGAGATTTGGATTCTGCGGCAGGTAGGCTTTTTGCTATTGCAGGTAGAGCAAAACCTAACAGGTCATGGCAGGTAATAGTTATTACTGAAGTAAAGCACGACAGGTTTAGTTTAGATAGGAGGGACACAATGTCAGAAACTGACAGGGGCACTGAGAAACCTGAAGTCAGGAAGCTACAGTGCTAACAATGAAGTACATGGACTAGAAGGGCAGAGACAGAAAGATTCTGGTTTAAGATGAATTACTACTATTTTACAGTGCTGGGGACTGGACCCAGGGCACTGCACAGGCTAGGCATTCTGCCACTGAGTTACGCCCCACCCTAAGAGTAAGATTTTAGAGGTAGAAAAAGCACATGCTTGTAATACCAGTTACTCAGGAGACTGAGGCAGAATGTTTGGAGCCAGATGGGCTACACATTTTTTCTCTTTCCTGCGACAGAAAAGAGGAAAAATGCTTTAGAGGTAGAGCAATTTGGGAGGTTATTATCTAAGGAGGGGCATGAAAACTAGCTATTTGGCCTGAGGAATAAAAAAAATACATCTACGTGAGACACTGGTACTTTAAAAGCTTTTCTACAAAAAAAAAAAAATAAATAAATAAATTTCTCTAACAAACAAGACTCAGGAGTCCCCAAAAGGCATGCATTATCTCTGCTTTTCAGAAATTTTTTAAGACAGAGTATTACCATGCTGCACAGGCTCAAGGAATCCTCTTGCCTCAGCTTCAAGCAGCTAGGACTACAGGTGTGCTCCACTACACCTAGCCAGTCTGTTTTTTACCTGTCCTTCACAAGCTTCTCTGTAGATTTCTAGCTTCTCCAAGAGATCCTCATATTCTGAGTCACACTCAGCCATCTTCTTTTGGTAATATTCCAGAAGCTCCTGGGAAGGGCAGAGGACAGCCAGACGATCTTTGATGGAAGGCAAGGGAGTGGACTCCATCAAATCTGCCATTTCTTTCCACCTGGTGGGACCACTAATGCTAGAAGCAACACCGTGTTTTGAAGTAACTATTAGTTTATTGGAAATTAGACAGGATTTATTCATTGAATTCTCTAACATGTATAAAATGTTATACTTTTTTTATACACAGGGTTTTTATCTCAAAGTGTTTATAATTAAGGTCCTCGCACATATTGAAAATCTGATGTTACACAGTGGTATCAAGATTTAAAATGATTCAAAATTCATGTTAAGAAACTAAAAAGATCACTTCAAAATTAGTATAAATTCATATCACATAGTAACATTTCGTACTACAAAACATACAGCAAAAGACTAAATGATAAAATATATAGAAGACTAGGACTAATTGATAAAAACGGCAAGGTTCAGATCCAAGGCTGCATTTTTGTTTTGCTTGCTAAAGCAAACAAGAGACTTAAGGTAACACAATGAAAAGTAGAGAAGCCAGTGAAAAGCAATCCAGTTCAGCTGTCTGCACTTTACAATGCAACAAACGCAACACTGGAGTGGAAAAATTTTATACTAGAAGCCCAGAGCTACTTGTAATCAATGAATGTAGTTAATATATGCAGTCCCTCTTAAGTAAGCAAACACAAAGATATTAACATTTATTCTTATTCTCATGCTGGGATGTAACTCTGGTACAGCACGTGCATGAAAGACTCAAGTTCAATTATTTGTGGGGGGACTCAAGCAGGATGAAGGGGAAAAAAACCAACATTTTTCTTTATTGAAAGCCTTTTGGTCTTAGTGGTAGAGTGTGCACTTGGCAGGCACAAGGATCTAGATTGAATCTCCAACATTACAAATCAAAAGGAAAAAGCTTATGATAGAAATACTATGTTACTTGTGAATAGGAAGAAAATGTTCAAATGGGGAGTAAGGGAGGGCGAGGGAGAATGGAAAGTAAAAAAAAAAAAGGAAAACTGAAATGAAGCTTTTGTAAATGCGGAAGGGAGGTGTTGAAGGGAATGGGAAAAAGAACCAAGTTGTATCATGTACAGGTACAAATTCTCTATGATGAATGTGATCATTATGAATGTCTAAAATGTGCCAATAAAGTCTGACTAGAGAAAAAAACTCTATCTTATTTAATGTTTCTTATTTTTAGAGGGGCTGTCTTTTAACAACACTGGGCAATAGACTAATGCATCAACCATGAAGTACTTCTGTTGCTGCAGATGAGAGCTGAGGCACCAATAAACATGAGGTGTCAGCAAATTTAGCAGAATCACCAACGAAAGTCCTGCTTGGTACGGGCTGTTCTCTGTAAGCCACAATCTACTGGCCCTGTGCCCAATCCTGTCACACTGAATAAATCCTGCTTTGGGGGGTTTTGTTTTAGACTTTGAAGTTTTTTTTTTTTTTTGAGACAGGATCTCACTATGTGGTTCAGGCTGGCCTTGAATTTATACTGACCCTCTTGCCTCAGCCTCCCAAATTCTGGGACTACACGTATGTACCACCATACCTGGTTTGAGACATGGTCTCCCTAATAGAATCCGGGCTGCTTTTGAACTTGTGGCAATTTTCCTGACTCAGCCTCCCAAGTACTGGGATTACTTACAGACATGTGCTACCATTCCCGGCTTGAATGAGTCCCCAGTATTAAATTCTGGATAATACAGAAATGAGACACAATATAGTTCAAATCAAGATTTAGGGCTTGGTGTGGTGGCGCATGCCTATAATCCCAGCACTCAAGAGGCTGAGGCAGAAGGATCACTTGAGTGTTTGAGGCCAGTGTGGGCTACAAATGGAGTTCAAGGCCAGCCTACTTGAACACAGTGAAATCCTATCTCAAAAAGAAAAAAAAAAAAAGATTTAGGAAGTGTTTTCAACTCTCTTAACTTTTATGCCAACTTGATCTAAGGTTACAAAAGTCTTGATTTTTTAACAAGTCAAAAATAAAACAAATGTCTTACTTTCTGTAGACAGGGGTGCATGTCGGGGTAAAGTTCATGCTGTCTTAGTCACACCTATCAAATACACAAAAATTCATAATGAGACTCCAGGAACAGAAAAGAACAAAAAAACCCGAACAGCATAGGATACAGACTGGTTCCCCTTCCAACATTATCGTATTTGCCTCCTGAGGACAATATGGTTTGTTTATTTTCTGACTTGAAGATTTATTTTTACAACTTTTTGAAACAGAGACGACACACTATGGAGAAGTGGGGTGGAGAGCAGACCCCGTTTAGTGGCCACCACAGCACTGGAATTGAGAGGCCAGCCTAAGAGAGCCATGAACTGCCACTGGGATAGCTACTGCCTGATGCTCAGCAGGCCATTCCTGCGTGCCATGCAAAACTGCTATGTATGGGTCCAACCCATGGTCACTCAGCTCACTGCCAAACAAGTCCCACTCATCCTCAGAGTCAGTCAGCTCATTGCCCCCAACCGGTTTATCAGTTGGTGTTGGCACTGTCCGTCTCTGTGGCTCCTCTTCATGCCCCTCAGAGTCCCCCGGGGTATGCGTGCTTATAAAAACAGTTTCTTCCAAATGGGCAGCTCCCACGGCCTTCATCAAAATACCTGCATACCTTGTTGCTCATTGCCTCCTGGTATTTCCGAATGAGTTTCTGCTTTTCTTCTTTCTCTTCCACCCAGTACTCACTTGGAATGACAAAGTTAGATGTGATCCGGCATTCAGGGCAGGACTTTATGATCTTGCTGTCAAACTGCTTAGCACTCCTCCACTCGCGGATACACTTGAGACAGTAGGTGTGATTGCAGTTGGAGAGGATACCAAAGCGACGCTCGCTGGGTCTGGCTTTCTCATACACCACCTCCATGCAGATGTCACACATCATGTCTTTGCTGCGCTGCACAGCAAAGGACAGCTCCATATCCTTCTCGTGGGCCTCAATGCAAGACTTTATGTGCTGGGACCTCTGGGCTGGATCTGTCGGGTGCAGGACCTGTAGCCCACACATGTCACAGGCATCGCCATGCAGATACATGCAGTTCTCCTTGTTGCAGCATTCTCCCACAGCAGCGTAGGGGCAGACCTGCTGTTTGGCCTCCACCGCAGCGGGCTCCTTTTGCGACTCGGCCTTGGGCACCAATTCCTGTGCAGAGGCTTCTGAGCAGGCAGGGGCGATGCGACCACGGTAGGGCTGCCCAGGCACAAACTCAACAGCATTTGCCCAGTCCTTGGAACCTGGGCCTATGGCTGGGAAGTTCACAGTTTTGGACTCAGCTTTGCCCATTCTCCTCTCCACAAGTGGTCCAGCAACAATGGGGAAAAGACTTGAGGCAGCAACGAGGGACGGTCTTACGGTTACATCTGCAGCAGCTGCGTCGTCCTGTTTCAGGGGCTTGCTGTGCTCGCATCTGCAGCGGTCTCCACAAACACAGTACCCTTGCTGGAAACACTTGCATACTGCATGGTGGGGACTGTTGGAGCCATCACGTGAGCAGCAACAGTTATCTCCTTCCTTACAAACCCCATGCATGAAATACCTTCCTTCCCCACCGGGGAACATGTTTTTGCTGCTGCTGTGGCCGTGCTCAGGAGATGACAGAGCTCTTGAAGTCTCACCAGCCTTTTGCTTCTTTCTAGGTTGTTCTGGAGTAACTTGCTTTTTTCTTTTTAACTGCTTGCCAGCTTCACTGTCGGAACTGCTGTCTGACGAGCTTGAAGGAAGAAGTCCCTTCACATTAGCCATTGACTCTCACCTGTGGTCCACAGTATGTTTTAAAGTAAAATATTCCTTAAGGTTGTTTCAACTCCTAAAGTTTTACGCCTTTCAAATTTTTATGGGTAATCTTCATTATCATTTTCAAATACAATGACAATGGCATTGGATATTTGGATAAACATACAGGAAGAAGTCTTCTCAGTATCAATGCTACCTGCAATAATGTAAAAACAAGTCCTTACACTGAATTACAAGGGACAGTCAGAAAGGTTCTTTCCTTGTTTTTGAGACAAGAGTTTCACTGTTTCCCAGGCTGGTCTCAAACTCCCAGGTTCAAATGATCCTCTTGCCTCAGCCTCCTGAGTGGCTGGAAGTCAGGTGTGCTACTATACCCCGTCAGAAAACTTGCTAATAAATAGGACATAGTAATGGAAAGTAAAGTAGAACACCATTTCAAATTTACAATGCTATTTTTATTTGGTGTGCTTTTTAAAAATTGTTTTACATTAGCGAAAAAGTTGCCTAGCATGTTTTGAGGCCCTAGTCTAGAAGGATAAAACAAAAACAAAACAAGCCAGGCAGAGGAACAAGTCTATAATTTCAGCTACTTAAGAGGCCATGGCAGGAGATCACAAGTTCAAGGCTGGTCTCACTTAGTGAGACCCTGTCTCAAAATAAAATCTTAGAAAGGCTGGGGATATAACTGAGTTAAGTGTGCTTGCCTAGCATGTCTGAGGATCTAGGTTCAACCCCCAGTTCTACCAACCAAAACCAAAACCAAAACCAACCGAACAAAAAATCCACTTGAATTATCTTAGCAAAAGAAAAATTTACATATAAATTTTTAAAAGGTTCCTTCACAATCTTCATTTCCATTGGTAATAAGAGCCTGAGCTCCTCTACTTAGATGGAAGACAGCTTCAGTTGGAGAGGAAATACCATTATGTTACACGGTTTTGTTTTTGTTTTTTTTTTTTTTTTAACTTTTTATCAGTACCAGGGATCGAACTCACGACTGCCTGCTTGCAAGGCAGGTGCTTATGTCGCTGAGCTAAATCCCCAGCCCCTGTTACATGGTTTTAAAGGAAGGAACGGGAGGAAAGTGACTGGTCTTTCATTGGCTTTGGTTAAAGCCTTCCCAAGCATGTTTTGTCTGTCTACTCTGATTCTGAGTAAGACAAAAGTCGAAGAAATATTTTGTTCTATCTGTTTATACTCTTCAGTCCTTTGGGACAGGTTGGTTACTTTGTTGTTGCTGTTGTTTTCTGAGACATAGTCTCTTTGTATAGCCCAGGTTAGCTTTAAATTTACCATGTATCCCAGGCTGGCCTTGAAATCCCTCCTATCCTCCTGCCTCAGTCTCTCAAGTGCTGGGATTACCAGCATGGAACGCTATGCTTGCCCCTTTGGCAGAATTTTGTGGAAAGTATTAAAAGGAACCATCACTACTGTTACTTCCATCTTCCTGCGTAGAATGCTGTCTGTCATACCTTTCCTCACTACTTCCTGAAACCTCCCTTAATTTGGCTTCCAGGACACTGATTCCTAATTTTTCTCTTTAACTGTCATTACTTTTCAGCCAGCTCTTCCTCATCTTTATACTCCTTGCCCTCGTAACCTAATGAAGTCTCATGGTTTTAAATACCAAGTATACAATGGTTTTCAAATTTACACTTGCAGCCGTGACTCTGCCCACTTCTCTAGAGCCATGCATCCACTTGCCTACTCTGGGCCTCCACATGTGTCACGGGTCTGCCCAATTTAGTAAGTCTAAACAGAGCTGCTCACACCTCCCCTACCAAACAGCCTTTCTCTCAGAATCCTACTTTGCAATAATTACTAATTCTATTTTGCCACTTGCTTATGACAAAACAAAACTTTGACAAACTTTAATTCTTTGTCTTATATTATACTTAATCAACTGCCAACTCCTGGTAACTATAAATAAAAATATCTAGAATCTAGGCCAAGGATATGGCTCAGTGGCAGAGCACTTACCTAGTATGCACAAGGCCCTAGGTTTTATCCACTAGGAAAAAAACTCTAGAATCTGATTAACTACTCATCCTCTCAACCATTATTGTATCTCTTTGTCTAATGACTACAAATGGCTTTTTTTTTCATTACGAGAAGGTCCCAGGTTGGTCTCAAACTCATGGTCCTCACTCCTCAGCCTCTTAAGTAGCTGCAACTACCACACACCCAGCTATAAAAGCCTTTTTGGGGGGTGGGGGTGGGACTGAAGATAAAACCCTGGGAAAAGTTCTACCACTGGGTTACATTCTCAGTCCTTTTTTTAAATTTTGAAACAGTCTCACTAAGCTGCCCTGGCTGCCTCAAACTTGTGATCCTCCTGGTTCAGCCTTCCAGGCTCTCTTGTAGCTGGGATTACAGGCTTGCACCACCATGACCAGATAGATGGTCTCCCTGCTTCTACTCTAAACCCCAGCCTTTACAGTCTGTTCTCAAAAGTTCCAGTGATTCCTTAAAACACAAATTTTTTTTGTGTTTTAAAAGGTGGTGCATACCTGTGATTCTAGCACTTGAGAGGCTAAGAGGACTGCTATGAGTTTGAGTCCAGCCTGCTCTATACAGTGAGTTCAATGCCTGGCTGATGAACTACATAGCAAGACCTTGTCTCAAAAAAACCAAATGGGCCCAGGGATGTAGCTCAGCGGCATAAGCACCTGCCCAGCAAGCATAAAGTCCTGAGTTTGATTCCAGGTGCCCAAATAACAAATTACACAAGCCAAAACAAATTTTCTCTGCTTAAAATCCTCCAATGAAGATGAATGTAATTATTATATATACCTAAAATGCACTAGTAAACTCTGATTGGAAACTCTGAAAACAAAAATCAATAAAAAAATGTAAAAAATGTAGAATTGACAAAATAAAAAGTCTCCAATAATCTTGTTTAATTTTTGAGGCTGGGTTTCACTGTTTAGTGCAGGCTGGCCTGGAAGTTCACAGTAATCCTCAAACATCAGTCTCCCAAGTGCTGAGATTACAGGCATGTCATCATGTCCAGCTTCCAAAGACTTTTGCTTTACTCACACAATCAAAGACTTTAAAATGCCCTAACCTTGTCTGTAACTCCCACTCTTCCTGCTCAGTGTTCCAAAAATCACTAGTCTTTGCTGCTCTTCACACATACCAGGCAACTCAGCCACTGCACTTTTAGTCCTCTGCCTACCATGACATTTCCCATCTATGCAGCTTCCTTTTTTCCCTCCCTCAAGGCTCAAATGTCACCGTGATGATAAAATCTTTCCTGAAGCTCCGGTATCCCCTCAACTACTCTCTTTGCTTCACTCTTATTTGTACCACCACCACCACCTTACTTTTCTCTGTCTCCCTACTGTGATGTACAAATTTACCAAGGGTGGGGATTTTTATTTTTTGTATCCACTGCTTTATGCCTGATATGTAAATTAGTGCTTAATTTACCATAAATGCTCAATAAATACTTACTGAATGTTTTTAAAACCCCTGATATGAATTCAAAAGATAATTATTAAACATCAGGTTATTCACTCTGGCTCAAAAAACTGGTTTCAGTTTGTCCCATTCCATTTGCTTTCTTCTACAGTCAACCATTCAAATATACTATCTCTCTTTTAATTCTCTCCTTTAAAATGTTTACTCTCTTTCCAAGTCACTTCCTTTCTCAAAATTCTCTAAATTGGGCTAATCTGTCTTTTGTAAATAAGCTTAAAAAATGGTTACTGGATTGCTATCATATGACTATGGATGATATCTTTTGTTCTTAAATGGAACTATTATACATTATACCATATAATTCATTTAAAATGTACAATTCAATGATTTTTAGTTAATATTTACAAATATATGCAACTATAATCACAACAAATTCTAGAACATTTTTCTTACTTCAAGACCTCATTATCTAACCATCCAGCCTTAAGCAACCACTAATCTACACTGTGTCTTTATAGATTTTCTTATTTTAGACTCTGGAAATAGAATCATACAGTATAAGATCTTTCATGACTGGCTTTTCTCAATTAGCATGTTTTCAAGAGTGACCTATGTTGTACAAGTTATCAGCTACATATTATTCTTTTCTATGCACATTGGTGACATCTTAAAGCTACACTGTACTGTCTCCAAACCATTTAAGAGTAATGTCAGGGGGCTGGGGATTTAGCTCAGCGGCATAAGTGCCTGCCGTGCAAGCAGGCGGTTGTGAGTTCGATCCCCCGTATCAATATAAAGGAAAAAGACAAAAAAAAAAAAGAGTAATGTCAAACATCACTGTCTCCAAACCATTTAAGAGTAACCTCGAACATGAAATGTCTTCTTGTAACCTACAATCTCTGTTCTTAGTGACAGTTCTTGCTCCTTCTTCTTATGACTATTGCATATAAGCAAAAAGCTGTCCGCCCTCACTTCTTTTTGCTTTCCTTTTCTTTCTTATGGCACTAGAGATTAAAGCCAAGGCGCACTGAACCACATCCCCATTGCTTTTTGACAGTGAATCTCCTGAGGTTTTTCAGGCTAGTCTCAAACTTATTTTCCCCATGCCTCACTCTCCCAAAAAGCTGACAAGTGTACACCACCCACCTGGCTTACATTTAGCTTTACAATTCCTTAACAATCTGACTTCTATTGTACACATTAAGCTGCTCTTCTTGACCAGCAAACTTCCAAATTTATAAATTCTATTTCTCTTTTCAATTCTCATTCTTCTTCATCCAATACTAACTCCTTGACTTGTATGTTGAATTTGACAGTATCAATCACCCTTCCTGAAAATATTGTAATATAGAGCATAGGCATAGAAGCCAAACAGAAGTGGATTTGAGTCAAAGTTCCATCCCTTATTAGTGTTTATATCAGGCAAGTGATATTCTCTAAACCTCAGTTACTCATATGTCACAGCTTACGGTAGAGATCAAATGAAATAATGAATAAAAGGGCTATGCACAATGTTTAATGCATGGAAGTCCAACAGCGGCCACTATTATCACTGAAAATTTATTCCCTTGGTTCAACAGGGCCTGCCATCACCTTTTGTTTTTACTTCCTCTACCCATTTCTTAGATGTCATTATTTCTACTGCTCTTATAATTATCTCTGTCATCTAAAATCTCACTTGGCACAGACTAATCATTGTGTTGAATAGATAATCTCTCAATCTCTGGATCTTGAATTTCTACTTATTACTGGGCATTTCTATATACTGTCTCACTGGAGCTTGAAATTTATAACAACAACAATAAAAAGCTGCCACTTGAGTCACAAATGTTTTAGTAGCTCAAAGCTAACATTTCAGCTAGGCATGACAATGAATGCCTCTTGTCAGCTCCAGCACGAAAACTGCAAATTTCAAGCCTTCTTTTTTTTTTTTTGGTCTTTTTCATTTTTATCGGTACTGGGGATCAAACTCATGGCCACACACTTGCAAGGCAGGCGCTTATGCCAAAGCCTGGACTAAATTCTTAAGGCTCTGTGTCAACATAAAGCTACCATTTCCCAAAAACAGTATATGATCTTTTTGCCCTAAACATGTTCCTTTGGATTTCTTATTTTAGTTATCAATTCAGCCATTTCAAAGTAATCCAGACTTGGCAATTTCAATTCGTAACTTGATTTTTTTTTTTTTTTTAAATGCGTGTGTGAGAGTCTCACTACATAGCCTAGGCAGACCTTAACCTTTTTTTTTTTGCGGTACTGGGGATTGAACTCAGGACCTTCCGCATTATGAAGCTAGAACCTTCATAATGAGCTACATGCCAGCCCCTACTTTTTTAATTTTGTGAGAGTTTGCTAAATCACTAAGTTGCTGAGTTAGGGCTCAAACTTTCAATCTTCCTTTCAGCCTTCCACAGTAGAGGGATTACAGGCATGTACCACTACGCCAGGATACTACTCACCGCTTATGTCCTCTAGACCAAATTTTTAAAAAACTGTAAATTCACCAGTGGCTCTTTATAGGACAGTATAGGTGGCAAACCTATAGCACGCGTGTTTTCTTTTAAGGTAAAAGATGTTGGCTAGGAGTAGTGGTGCATGCGTGAAATTCCAGGACTTGGGAGGCTGAGCCTGGAGGTACCCTTTGAGTTTGAGGCCAGCCTGGGCTACACATTGAGACTGTCTCAAAAAACCAACAAATAAATTAATAATAATTCCCCTCCATCTCTTTTCCGCATGTCTCTATTAAAAATTATCTGACTGCTGGGCGTGGTGGCTCACGCCTATAATCCCCGCACTCCTTGCGAGTTTGAGACCAGCCTGGGCTACAAAGTGACCTCAAGGCTAGCCTGAACTGCATAGCGAGAGCCCATCTCAAAACAAACAAAAATTATCTGACTGTAAAGGAACTCCATTCGCAATTCCCTAAAAATAGTTAACTATGTTAAAAGTTTTCTGTTGCTACTATTTTTCCCAAACAGGATTTTTGTTTTTCTGTGGTGGGGATTGAACCAAGGGTCCCGCACTTTCCAGGCAAGCACTCTACTCTAGACCGAATTTTACGAACAACTCGGTTAAGTAGTTTTATTGTGAAGCGCCAGGTACAGAGGTAAGAGGCACTAGAGGTTAGAGTTGCAGCTACCGCTGTGGAAAAGCTAGGAACTTTCTCTGTTGTTAAACCCTAAACATATAAACGTGTGGTGAGGGAACACCGAACCCATTCCAGGGGTCCATTTCCTGTGCTAGTTTTTCCCTACTTCATTCAGTTCTTGACTCCCTCATGGCCACCGCTCCTCAATCCCCCCAGGTCTCTGCACAAACACCCTCTTCCGGTCCCCAAACCTAGCACGCCGAGGTTTCAGGATCCTGTTTCTCTCTCCTACGTGCTCCCACGGTTACCCCTCCCTCACTCGCTTTTCTTCCCAGAATCTCTTCTCCAAAATTCTACTCCCTTAAACCTGAAAATCTATACTCACGACACACCACGACACGAAGTCGAAGGACTCAACTGAAAAACAACTCAAACTAGAGAGCGTCGCGGCGCCACGGAGCATCCACAAATCTGTCCAATCGCCAACGAGTTTACACGGGCCTTTCGATGAAACACCAATGGAAAGGCTGTTCATGCAGACGCCTCTCCCATGGCGCCTTGGGTCGCGCCGCACAGAGGTCGAAGGGAAATGTAGTTTTTCTTCTGCACGTAACTGCTCGGAGTTCGCCCTGGAGCTCCTCCCACACAGCACAAATTTTGGGCACTGCTGGGTTAAATTTGTTTAACGACTTTTCATTTAAGAAAAGTGTAGAAAGGCATACTTGTGGAATGGAGCACTAGAGACCTTCAGGGCATCTTAATACATACTGTTGTATGGTGTAGGCCTACAAGCTTGGCTCAATTTTTTAAAAAGAGTTTCAATTTGAAATAAACAAGCATGGCTTTAGAAGCTAAAAGATTCCAGAACAGTTTCTCCTTTCATCTATCCTGGTAACCTGAAGTTAGGATAGGATATAGGGTTCAATTTTTTTGGTCAAGGGACACTGCCTCCTTTTTCCAAGACATGTGAGAAACTTTAAATCCTATAAATTCAATACTCATCTTTTCAGAAGGGCCAGGTATAGAGGTAAGAGGCACTAGAGGCTAGAATTGTAGCTACTGCTGTGCAAAAGCTAGGAACCTTCTCTGTTATTAAACCCTAAATATATATATGGCTTTTTTTTTGGTACCGGGGATTGATCTCGACTTTGCGGTTATCAAGCAAGCACTTGAGCCACTGAGCTAAATCCCCAGCACCTCTGAGCATATTTAAACGTACCATCTTCTCCCAAACCTGTTTTTTCTTTCTTGTGACTTTCCTCAGTTATATCAGAATCCTATCAGACATTTCTCAATATCTTTGTGTGTTCACTTTGTTTTGGCCCCTAACATTTTTTTAAACCAAATCAAAACTCACCCAAGTGGGGCTGGGGATTTAGCTCAGTGGCATAAGCACCTGCCTTGCAAGCAAGGTGGTTGTGAGTTTGATCCCTGGTACCGATAAAAAGGAAAAAGACCAAAACAAAAAATTTAATTTTATTGGTACACTTTTGATATATATGATTACACTCATCATAGGTGATTTGTACCTGTACATAATATATTTTGACTTTTCTCCCCATTCCTCTTCCATCCCTTCAAACTTGTTTTTAAAGGTTTTTTTTTTTTTTGTTCTTTTGTGTTTTGAAACAGAGTCTTACTCTGTTTCAAATACATAGTGAATTCAAATTCACTATGTAGCCCAGGCTAGCCTCAAACTCAGGGCAATCCTCTTGTCTCAGCCTCCTGAGTGCTAAGATTTTGCAGGTATGCACCACTACATCCAGCTTGTTTTATTTTATTTTGTTTTGCTTTGAGATGGGGTCTCAATCTGTAATGCAGGCTGACCTCAAACTAGAAGAAATCCTCCTACCTCTTCAGCCTCTCCAGTGCTGGGAATACAGGCATGTCTCATTATACCTGGACATTTTTAAGTTTTGGTTTGTTTTGTTTGAGATAGTCTCCATAGTCCAGGTTGGATTTGAAATTGATGTGATTCCCCTACCTTAGAAGGTACAGGCGTGTGCCACTGCATTGTGCTTATGGTTTTTGTTTTATTTTTCTATGTGGGTGCAGTGCTGAGGATTAAAGACAGGGCCTTTGAACTAACCTATATCCCATCTCTTTTCTATTTTTTTTTTTTTATTTTTGAGACAGGATCTTGCTGTGTCACTAAACTGCTGAGTCTGGGCTCAAATCCTCCTATCTCACCCTTCCACAGTGCTGGCATTACAGGTATACACCATCATGCCTGGCTTCATACGTGTTTTTAAATATTTTGTATGATGAAATAGGAACCATATAAAGCATTTATACTGTATACAGAAATAAAAGAGTTTTCTCTCCTTTTTTTTTGTCTTTTTCCTTTTTATTGGTACTGGGGATTGAACTCACAACTGCCTGCTTGCTGAGCTAAATCCCCAGCCCCTCAAGGAAAAGTTCATACCAGCTGAAAGAGTCACTTTTTCACAGGATACTAAAAGAGCTGACAAATGATGGCTATGTGGGGTTAGGTATTAGGTCCATACATTGTTGAAAATGAGCAGAGTAAGTTCATCAGTGGAAACAACTGATAGTACTTGTCAGCAATGACAAAATTTGAGCTTTTAAATAAAAGTTATAATTTTGGGAAACTTTGTTTTTTGAGACTAGGTCTCACTATGGAGTTAAGGTTGGAGTTGAACTCATTTTGGAGCCCAGGCTAGCCTCAAACTCATGGCAATCCTCCTGGCTCAGTTTTCTGAGTACTAGACTACAGGTGTGTACCATCAAGCCCAGCTTTAAAGTATTTTCTGATAGGAAACACACACACACGCACACAAACATGAACCATAAAACATGTTTAAAATTTTCATTATAATTAGAAGACCTTTCCTCTTCAAAAGACAATGTTAATAAAATGAAAGAGCATCCCGCAACTGACAAAAAAATATTTGCATTACATACATCTGACAGAAAACTGCTTTCCAAAATATGCAAAGAAAGAAAAAGCACAAAATATGCAAAGGACTCTTACAATTCAATAAGAGAATAAATTCAGTAAAAACTACAGGCAAAGAAGATACACAAGTGGCGTGTGTGTGTGTGTGTGTGTGTGTGTGTGTGTGTGTCTTTTTCCTTTTTATCGGTACCGGGGATCGATCTCACGACTGCCTGCTTTCAAGGCAGGCACTTATGCCTGCTGAACTAAACCCCCAGGCCCGACAAATGGCCTTTAAGAAAACGCTTTAAAATACTTTTTTTCTTGGTACCAAGGATTGAACTCACAACCTCATACTCGCCTAGCAGGGGCTTATGCCACTGAGCTAAATCCCAGCCCCAAGATGCTCTGTTTTTGAAGCTGGCTTTGAACTTGCTGAGGAGCCTCAAACATGCTATCCTTCACTTCGGCCTCCTGACTATTCCAACTGTGTATTCCTCCTGAGTTCCAACTGTGCACCATTACACCCAGCCGCTTCTCTCTTCCAACTGCAGACTGGTGTGATGTGGGTTTTCTTCATGGACTTCAATCAAAACAACATCTTACAAGAGAATGAATGTGGAAAGACTTATAAGAATTCAGCTTTAAAGGTTAGTGGAATTTTCAGACAATGTAAGCCAATGATATTTTTAGCACTAAATTTCTTGTTTTAGAAAGGATATTCTTTTTTTTTTTTTTTTTTTTTTTGGTGATACTGGGTATTGAATTCATAACCTCACACTTGCCAGGCAGGCGCTTATACTGCTGAGCTAAATCCCCGGCCCAGGATAGTTATTCTTAAAATACTCTTAGCATGTTATAAGCTTATTTCATTGTAAATTAATAAACATGTCTTACTTTTTATTGCTAATATATGATAAATCTATAATTCATAAACAAGAACTTTAGAATATACTCAGTAGTGAAATAAATAAGACACATGTGTAAAGATCATATTGGTTCATTAGTGTGACAAAATGAAAGAAAAAACATGTATATGTGTATGTATCTGTACATAAAAAAGTTACAATAGTTATACTACTGATGCCTCTGAGTTTGATAAAGAGAAAGACTCGTGCTGGAAAGTTTGGAAAACTGAAGGCAGATGTCGTTAAAATTTTGTTGTAGTCTTTTTTTCTTCTTCTTTTCTTTCCATTTATGTTTGAATAAAATGGATAAAAAAATAACCTTAGGGGCTTTCAGTAATTTTTAAAAGTTTTTTTTTTTTTTTTGTACCAGGAACTGAACTCATGACGTTCTGCTTGTCAGACAGGTGCTTATGCCGCTGACCTAAATCCCTGGCATTTTTTTTTTTGTTGTTGTTTTGTTTTTGTACTGGGGATGAAACTCACTCAGGGGTATAAGTGCCTGCCTGGCAAGGGTGAGGTCGTGAGTTCAATCCCCATTACCAAAAATAAAAAAAAAAAAACAACAAAAAAATAGGTTCCAACACCAAAATTTTGAGACTTATTGGTAAAAATTACTTGCAAAACAAAATGGTATTTTTCTCTTTTGTAGTACTGGAGATTAGAACACAGGACCTTGTGCATGCTAGGTAAGTACTCTATCACATATATCAGCCCAATGCCCCCCTTTTTTTGGAGACAAGGTTTCCTTAAGTTTTCCAGGCTGCTTTTGAACTCACCAGCCTTCCTCTTTAGCCTTCCAAGTAATCTCAGTTACTTGTGCCACTGTATCTAGCTAAAATGGCATCTCTATAAGAATTCAATAATTTTGACTTTTCCTTCTTTCCCAACTAATCTGATTTTGTGAGGTTTTATTGAATTTAAAGAAAATTGGATGGAGGCATGGTACCTGTGTAGTCTCAGATGTTCGGGAGGTTGAGGGAGGAAGACTGCTTGAATGCAAGAGTGGGAGATCAGCCTGGGCAACATGGCCAGACCCTGCTTGGAGAAGAAAAGAAAAAGAAAAGCTGGTGCACCAGTTCATGCCTGTAATCACAGCACTAGGGAGGCTGAGGCATGAGGATATGTGCACAAGGACCTGAGCAAGTTTTAGTCTCACTTGGGGGATTTAGCAAGACCCTGTGTCGGAAAAAGGGATGACATCCCTGGGTTTTATTCCAAACAAACAATCTCCCCCACCCCCTCGAAAAAAATATAAACCTCAGACTACAGCCATGCAAAATTTCATTTACAAATTATTTTCTTTTGTTTTTCATGAGACAGGGTCTTGCTATGTAATTTAGACTGTTTGAACTCACTGGCTGTTCTCAAACTGCTGGTGAGTCTCTTGCCTGAGCCTCCAAGGGCTAGGATTACAGGTATGTGAAACCATGCCTGGCTTAAAATGTATGTATTTTTTGAGACAATATGTCACTATGTAGTTCAGGCTGGCCTTGAACTTGTGGTGATCCTCCTGCCTCTGTTTCCTGAGTGTTGGAATTATATTTGCTGTAAAATTTTATTATGTTGCCAGTGCATAATGAGTACATTTATGATGGGGAGTTAGTACATGTCTGCAACATAGTTCAGTTCTTTTTATGTTTCTTCCCCCAAATGATTTTTAGACCTATCTATATTTATTCTGTTGGAACATTCAGGATAGCAAATTTCAGATGATTATGTAATACCTTAATATTTATTTTTATCTAAAAATTATTTCTAGTGAATTTTTAAATAATGTAAGCATCATCTTCAAATTATAGCTATACTCAAGTGTTCTGCCCAGAGACCCAAATACTATTGTGTTTCATCTGTGCATAATCTCCTCACAGGAGCTGATAAAATACTCTGCATCTTTTTTTTTTTTTTTTTTTGGTACCATGAACTTGGGACCTTGCCCTTGCAAGGCAAGCGTAGTGCCACTGAGCTAGATCCCTGACCCTGCTGTGTATTTTTACAGTAATGATTCGTATTGGGAGTGTGATGGAGTTCAGATACTCTTAGAGGAACAGCAGGATCTGAGATGGGTGCAACTGGGTAGCTAAACTGGCTTCTAACTTAGGACTCAGATCTAGGCTGTAAGTACAGATTTGCGAGGATCAGGTTAATTTGGCAATTCCATTCCTGGCAGTGGCTGATATTTTGTGAGGAGTACTTTAAATTTGAAAATATGGCTTAGAAACAATGCTTTCTTCTGTAAGTTTACTTCATACTAAGGACTGTATTTTCATGGTTTGTTCTTTAGTCCTGTCTACGTTTTTCTCCACAATTTAGAGGAAATGAAAGAGAAGACTGGCACAAAGATTTTTCGACGAGCAGGTTCAAAACGGTTTCCATAGCAAAATGAGAAAGAGCACAGCATATGGTGCAGGAGCTGCTTGCTGTTAAAAATAAGATGATTTGGGTAGATGGGCGTGGTGGCGTATGCTGGTGATTTCGGCATTTGGAAGACTGACGCAGGTGCATCACCGCGGGTTTGAGGCTAGCTGGCAGGCTGAACTACACAATCTGATTCTGTCTCAACAAAAGCAAAGAGAAGAGAAGCATAAGATTGGAGTTGCGTGTCAATTACTAGAAAACGGTTTTTTTTCCCCCCGTGTAGAATGTAGAGAAATTTCCAGATGGAATGGATTCTTTTCGAATTTGTGACGAAGAGGTGGGTATGAACTGACCGAGTGAGACTATTCGTAAACACTAGCCGTCAAAGGATTAAAAAGAGAGATGAGCAGTGGAAAGGTTAGTACTTGTTCAAATGCAGGCATGTACAAGTCACGGAGAAGCGCGGAGAGGCAGGGGCGGGGTGGCAGGACGAGGTAGGCCCGGCGGCTTTGGATACCATTAATGCACAAAGAGCGGAGCTCTCCCCACCGGAAGCGGAACCGCTGTCCTGGGACCGCGACGCATTCCTCCGCGCCGGAAGGGCGACCCGGCTTACTCTCACCTCTACTGGAGAGGGATCGCGCTTCTCTCCAGGGGGTTCTCCAAAGATTATTGGACTGCGCAGGACTTTGGCAAACAGGCAGAGAAAAAGCGACGCGGGCACCCGGGAAAGGCGAGAAGGGAAAGCCGTATATCGAGGTGGCCTTTCTTCGTGGAAGAACTCTGTTCCTGCGGTGGCGGAGGGACATGACAGCACTTTAACTTCCGGAAAGTCCGGGCTCTGAGAGGAAAAGCCCTGAAGGAAACAATAACAAACAGCAGGAAGGAGCGATTCTGGGTTTCAGTGTTGTGTAGGTTTCTGAGAAGATGCTTTTCGGGCCCTGTGAGGGGATGTGAAAAGGCTCGGTGGGCTCCAGCCAACTTTCCTTCATCTGTTGCCCCCAGGGACCCCCGGCTCTTGCCATGGCGGGCGTGGGGCCGGGGGGCTACGCGGCGGAGTTCGTGCCACCTCCGGAGTGCCCAGTCTTTGAGCCCAGCTGGGAGGAGTTCACAGATCCGCTCAGCTTTATCGGCCGCATCCGGCCTCTGGCTGAGAAAACCGGCATCTGCAAAATCCGACCGCCAAAGGTACCCGAGTCTTCGAAGAGGGAGAAGGGAGAATGGGAGTCGATTCGCTCGGCTCAGCTGTACTTCTGTCCTTTCATAGGTGTCTCTCTTATTTCTCGACCCCTGGAAGCTACGTTTCTGGATATTTTTGCCTTTGTTTCTGTTGCAGTTTTTATGCTGGCAAGTCTTAACGTGAGAAAGTGGTGTCTCTGGGGCCTTTCCTCCCTAAAATTTGAGAACTGATACTTTTATTTGGATCGAGGGCAAGGGTAAGAAGGCTTCAGGCCTGGTTAGCCAGTAAGGTGTTCGAAATGTTCTAATCTGATGCCTAGTACTCTGGTACGATTCTCATTATGGTTTGATCATAGGACCTGCCTTTTCAGTGGCTGTTTCTTTATCCAAGCCCTATAGTGCTTAGTTCATCAAACATTTACAGGCCACATTTCAGGGCTAGGGTTTCTTAAGAGGTAATCTGAGCTCTAGTAATCCATCAGGTTAATATCACTAGAGGAGACTCCAGGCTAATTACTACTACAGTAAGAGAATCCCCCCCCCCCCAAAAGAGGAAGAACACCAATTAGTCAAAGGTTTAGGAAGAATTGATAAATAATAAAGGTGGAGGAAAACGTTGAAATCCCTTGATAGAAGGAACTAAAGAGCAAAGACTAAAGAATTGTAATTATTGCACATAACTAGGTTTACCTATAGGTTGGTTAATTATAATCCTCAATCTTTGAGGAAAACAGATACTACTCTTTATATGGGGTTAATTAATGCCCTAAGAGGTTGAGTGATAAATTCAAGGTCCAAATGTTTTTCTCTTGACCTGTTAGATTGGGGGCTTTCCAGATGGTGTTGGACAGCCTGCATCAGCGTCAACTGGGTGTTTGTTAAAAGACAGATCTCTAGTCTTTTTTGAGACTAGAATTAGGGTCCGGAGGGAAGCACTTGTCTAGTTCTCACGAGACGCTGGGTTCCTTGGCAAAGGGAAAAAAAATACCGATTTCTGGGTGTAGGAGTTCTGGAGTTTGTGTTTGTTTCTTTCTTTCTTTTTTTTTTTTTTTTTGATGCCGGGAACTCACGACCTCACGTTTGCCAAGCAGGCACTTTGCCTCCAAGCTAAACCCTCGGCCCCTGTAGTTTGTGTTTCTAGCAAGTACTCACAGATATTTAGTGCAAATTCTTTTTTTATGACACCCCTCCCCCCCTACTGCGGATTGAACCCAGGACCTTTGCACTGAGCTATATCCTCAACCCTTCATTCTTTTTTGAGACTTAGCTAAATCATCAAGTTGCTCCGGCTGGGCTTCAGTAGACAGTATTCTTAGACATTTTGCTTTACTTTTTGCCTAAATCTAAAGCAGTGTCAGGCTGGGGATTTAGCTCAGAGGCACAAGCGCCTGTCTGGCAAGCCTGAGGTTGTGAGTTATATCCCCGGTACAAATAACAAAACAAACTAAAGTGTCATGTTTGAATTTTATAAAACCTCTACACTCACAGCTAACTGCTACACCATGGGAATATGTGCCACAGTGGATTAAAAGCTTACATGGGAGGGAGGAAGAGGGGGAGCTAATGTAGCTCCTAGAGATTGTTTCATTTACTCTTTGAGAACCAGTATTCATTTTACAGATGAGGAAAGTCTGGAAAAGTTACAACATTTGACAAATGTGTGATTTTGAGCAAGGTGGCAAAGTGAATTTTGAACCCAGATTAATTTCCTGATTGTAGAGCAGAAGTCCTGCTCCCCACTATGCTGAACAGTTTGCTGAATGACTTTATTAAGATTATAATCATTTTCAAGGAAAGGATTAATAAATCATTGCTATGATGCTATATATTGTCATTCTTTAAAAGCTTCCACTTAACTCCTATCAAAATTACCTAATATTGACCAAATCTTAAACATTCAAGATGGCCTAAATCATAGTTTCATGTACTGCCATTACAGTCACTAGAAATTCTATTCATGGATGCTTTTATGGTTTAAAAAAAAAAAAAAAGAAAAAGTGGTTTTTATTACCTTAAGGCTGTAATAATATACCTTTTCTATGGATGTTCCATTATTATTGAAAATAGATCTAGTTTATAAGCAGAGTTTAATTTGGATATTGGCAGATTTCTTTAGTTTTGAAGGTTTTTTGGGGACTTGTGCTCTTTTTGGGGGGGAGGGGGTACTGGGGATTGAATTTATGACCTTATGCTTGCCAAGCAGGTGCTTGTGCTGCTAAGCTGTACCCTCGGCCCTTCTATTCATGTCTTTGAATGAATTTACTTTAAATCAAATTTAGCTGGGTTTGTTGGTACATGCCTGTAATTCCCTGTTTGGGAGACAGAGGCAGGAGGATCACCATAAGCTTGAGGCCAGTCTGACTACACAGTGAGGTCAAGGCCAGTCTGAACTGTGCAGTGAGATCCCCTCTCCAAAGCAAAACAATAAAAAAACTAACAGTTCTCTGGATCCCTTACTTGAAATATATTAGGTTATATCACAGTCTGAAAATTACCTCTTTTCTGTAGATTTCCTTCCTGTTTAAAAAAATATTGAGCTGCTTGTACACCAATAATCTCAAAGCTTTAAAAAAAATTTTTGTAAAACATAGACTCTAAATTGCATATATTTGCATTTTAATACAGTAGTACCTAGGTTCACAAACTTAATTTATTCCACAAATCCAGAAAAGATAGGCATGTTCATGTTCACATGGAAAATATTTGTCACCTGATGCACAATTTGCAAGCAAAAACTAAATTTTGTTAAGTGCTTCTGTTTGCAAACCAACAAAATTGTTTGTGAAACAGGGTACCACTGTAGTTACTTTTTTGTGGTACCAGGAGTTAAACTCAGAGCCTTTTCACTGAGCTACATTCCCAGCCTTTTTATTTTGAAGCAAAATGAAAAGTTGTATTAGTCTTGCTAAGTTGCCCAGGCTGGACTTGAACTTTTTTCAGCCGTAGCTGAAATTAAAACAGGCAAATAAATGCTTTTGATTCTCTGTTGTTCAGGTTGGACTTACACTCATGGGCTCAAGCTGTCTTCCTCAGTATGTTGTTATTATTATTATTTTGGTGCTGGGGATTGAACCTGGGACCTCATTTATGTAAGTGCTCTGGCTTCATCCCATCTGTTGTTAAAATTTTTATTTTGAGGTGGGGTCTATGTTGTTCAGACTTGGCTCAAACTTGCGGTCCTCATGCCTCAGCCTCCTTGCAAGTATTTCACCATAATGCCTAATTTCTTATTAATACTTAAATATTTTTGTGTGTGGTGCTGGGACTCATACCTGGGCTCATTTATGCTAGAAAACTGCTCTACTACTGAGTTACATCCTCAACCCTAACAATATCTTTTTTAAACTTTACTTTTACTTGTTTTTTAAAAAAAATTTTTAAAAATTTATATGTTGGATACTGTTTTATGGTATGTGAACTCAATGAAATTTATTTTGAATAATTTGGGAAAGCATAATTGTGGGCTTGTAAATAGACTAGTGAGATTTGAGCATTGGTTCTTTAATATTAAAATTAAAATTGCTTTATGTGCAAAATCCTATTCTTCCTGTCTACAATAAAGAAAATGTTAGCTACAGTTGGTGGTGCGTACCTGTAATTCCAGTGTTCAGGGAGGTATCCTAAATTGAAGTACTGTGTAAACAGTTTAGTGAGCTCTTGTCTCAAAATTAAAATAAAAAAAGGCAGAGAGAGGGGCTGGGAATGTGCAGAATGCTCTGGATTCAATCTTCAGTACTGGCAAAAAAGAATAAAAAGCCTTATAAAGTTGTTTGTTGTCAGTATGATTTGTGGCAATTTATCCCTAAAATTAAGAGAATAAATGATGCACTCCTTACTTGCTACATATCACCACGTTTAAAAAATTTCTTTCTATTTAGGATTGGCAACCACCATTTGCATGTGAAGTAAAAAGCTTTCGTTTTACTCCTAGAGTTCAGCGCCTGAATGAACTTGAGGTGAGTGTTAAATAAATATAACCATTTCTGCTTTCTGATTCTTTATGTTAGGAGTCTGGGTAGAGAACTTTGAGGACTTAATTACTGGGGTTGAGGGTTTGTATTAGTATGTATTAAAATTGAATACAGTAGCTACTTTATGTTTGGAGGAAGTATCTGATTCTTAAAAGATTGATTAAAGTAGGTTATTTTTTTCACTTAATTGATTTTGGGAAACTATTTCCTTTTTTTTTTTGATACTGGGAATTGAACTCACAATGTTGTGCTTACCAAGCAGGCACTTATGCCACTGAACTAAATCCCCGGTCCTTGGGGAACTATTTCTTGCTATATTTTTCAAGGTGGAATTTTTCAGTGCTTAGTTTCAGAGACTTGGAATTGTTTTTTGCTGTGGAGGGCGGTAAGTGGAAATCAAACTTAGGATCTCACGCTTGCCAGGCAAATGTTGTGCCACTGAGCTAAACTCCCAAGACTTGGAATTCTTAAATTCTGTTTTTTTCGATGTTTACTATTCTAGTTTTTTTCTTTGCTAGTCTATTTTTAATCTGTTTCCAGTGGCCCTTGGGAAATAGATTTTTAAATTTTAATTCAAAATCTAGTTTTCAAAGATTTTGTTTGTTTATGAGGTATGGTCTTGGTATGTATAGTCCATGCTGGCCTGAAACTCACAACTCAGCCTCCTGAATATTGAGATTACAGGCAAGCACCATCACACCATCATGCCTATTTGCTGTTGTTTCCAGAACTGTTACATGTATTATCTATCTGTCATATATCTATCTTATCTATCTATTCCTATAAACCTATATATCTTATAATTAGTTGACAAAGCATCATAAAATCAGTGTGGATAGAATTGATGTACATAAAATATGAATATCACATACAGATAAATTGACAGAAATTAGAATGCTTAGAAACTTGGAACAATCTGGTTTACTGAATTTTATGGTTGCATAAGTTAAGCCACTTTCAAAAAAATGCTTTGGGTGCTAAAGAGATCTTTTTATATATGTTAGAGTAACTCTTTTGCTCTAATGGTGAAAATATTAGCAGTATTTTCTGTTTACTGTTGGCTTTTGTATTTTTACAGTTGGACTAAGCAGTAATGAAGTCTTTGAATTTCATTAGAGAAATGAGCATTTTTATTATGTTAGATTGATTTATTTTTAACCATGATGATTTCTATTTCTGATTTCTGTATTTTAATAATAGGCAATGACCAGGGTGAGACTGGACTTCTTGGATCAACTGGCAAAGTTTTGGGAACTTCAAGGATCTACTCTGAAGATCCCTGTAGTTGAGAGAAAAATTCTGGATCTTTATGCTTTGAGCAAGGTGAGGCTTCTATTTGGTTTAGAAATTGAACAGAGAGCAAGGGTTACAGCTCAGTTGCACAGTGCCTGCCTGACAGGCACAAGGTCCTATGTTGTGATTTTGGTATCAAAAAACATAAAAAATAAAAAAGAAATTGAACAGAAGGTAAAGTGCACGCTTAGCATGTGTGAGGCACTGGATTCCTGTTTTAACATTCCCCACCCCCAAAGAAATTGAGCAGAGGTTTGTGAATATATGAAATTAAGAATTTCAGTTAAATTTAGTAGGAAACATTGTTTTCAGTGTATAATTTTTTTTGTCTTTTTCGTTTTTATCGGTACCAGGGATCGAACCCACGACTGCCTGCTTGCAACGCAGGCGCTTATGCCGCTGAGCTAAATCCCCAGCTCCTTCAGTGTATAATTTGTTTGACAATAAAATGCATGTATGAAGAGATGGAAATGATAGATCTTTTTTTGGAGAGGGATCTTAAAGATACCCTTAGAAGGCATTTTATAGTTCATGAGATTAATATTTAATGATTCCAACCAATTGACTGTGTGATACACAATATGCAGAAGAAACAGGTATCTTCTAATATTGCTGTATACTGAGTGTGTAATATACATTGAACTTGTCATTTTCTTTCTTTTTTGTGGGGGGCGTCTTTTTGAGATAGGATCTTGCTGTGTGGTTCAGGCTGGTCTTGAGCTCGCTTTGTAGCCCAGGCTGGTCTCAAATTTGCAATGATCCTCCTGCCTCAGCCTCAGCTTCCTAAGTGTTGGGAATACAGGAGTGTACCACCACGCCTGGCTAGCCTGTCATCTTTATTCTAATTCCTAATTGAAAATTCTTGACATATTAAAGGGGTTCATGTTATAGCATTCTCATATGCTATATATCAGTTTTATTAATGATACCAGTTAACATTTAAGTACAGTATTATAAATGACTGAAGCCAGTATTTTCCAGTAGGATGAATAATAATTTAAAAACTTACAGGTGACTACATTAGACTCATTTTTGCCTAAATATTTGTTAACTTTGTAACATTGCATTCCCTGATGCAAAGAAAACTGAATTGCAACAGAGCTAATAATTTCTCTAAAAATATATTTTTAAATATAATAATAAAAATCTGTTGTTATGACTTGTGGCTGAAAATACCTTTATTTTTTATTTTATTTTATTTTATTTTATTTTTTATTTATTTATTTATTTATTTTTTTGTCTTTTTCGTTTTTATTGGTACCAGGGATCGAACTCACGACTGCCTGCTTCCAAGGCAGGCGCTTATGCCGCTGAGCTAAATCCCCAGCCCCTTTATTTTATTTTATTTTTTGTCTTTTTCCTTTTTATCGGTACTGGGGATCGAACTCTCGACTGCCTGCTTGCAAGGCAGGTGCTTATGCTGCCGAGCTAAATCCCCAGCCCCTGAAAACACCTTAATTACTTGAGAAATTTTCTAAGTACTTTTAGTTTGTGGTTTTTTTTTGTGTGTGTGGGGTCTTTTTTGAGACAGGGTCTCTATGTGTTCAGGCTGATCTTGAGTTCACTTTGTAGCCTAGGCTGGTCTCAATTTGCAGCGACCCTCCTGCATCTGTGTCCTGAATGTTGGAAATACTGGCATGCACCACCACACCTAGCTTTTGTGGTCTTTTATCACCTTTGATTGCACATCATTTTTGAATAGGAGTCTGTAGTATTCTTAATTATTTTCTTTTTTCCTTTTGCTTTTTTAGTTTTTGAGACAGTCTCATTATGTAGTCCAGGCTGGCCTTGAATTTATGGCAATCCTCGTGCCTCAGCTCTTGAGACCTGGGAATACAAGGTGGCGCAGTCCTTGTAATAAAAATTTATTTTGAGACAGAGTCTTACTAAATTACCTATCTTTTACTGGATTTTTCTGCCTCAGCCTCCTTAGTAGCTGGAATTACAAATGTATGTCACTGTGTTTACCCTCATTTATTTTTTGGATATGTTTTAAAATCAGTATCATTAGAATTCTCTTACTAAAAGTTGTAGGAATTGTGGTCTCATGCTAACAATCAGATTTAGACTGTTTTTGGTTTTTTGAAACAGGGTCCCACTGTGTAGTTCCAGCTGCCCTTGAACTCACTATGTAGCCTAGACTAGGCTCAAACTTGCTGCAGTCCTCCTGCCTCTCCTGAGTACTGGGGATTACAGGTGTACTGTTCCTGGCTCTAGCTTTAGGTCAGTGATACTGAACCTTTTAGATACCAAGTGTCCAAACTGTAACCCCAAATCCACTTACTTATTGCAAAGTGCCAACACTACAGTTAAACCTGAATGCTGAGGTTTTAATTTAGAAAAACAACTCATACATTAACATCTTTTGTCTTAAAAGGAAATGACAACAGATCTTGAAATGATGTCAGATCTTTGAGTGATACAAATAGCTTTTTATTGAATGTGCTCTTTGCTGTTTTATGCCTGCTGACCATTTGTCAGACCTTGACTGGAATGACTTGGCTCAAGTGCTGATAGAGTGCTCTGTGTGCTCACTGTGGCTCATGTGCCATAGGTTCTGTAATGCTTTCAGCTGTTTTTATCAGCCAGGTAATGATATCAATAATTAAGCATTGTTCAGGCAATAGTCTAGTGCAGTTATATGAAAACCTGTGATCCAAAGAGCAATTTATAGGAAACTTGAGGAGTCAGAGTATGTATTTTTGTAGGAAACCATTGGGATAAAAATTAGTTTTAAGAGTTTTCTTGGGGGCTGGGGATTTAGCTCAGCGGCATAAGCGCCTGCCTTGCAAGCAGGCAGTCGTGAGTTCGATCTCTGGTACCGATAAAAACGAAAAAGACAAAAAAAAAAAAAGAATTTTCTTAGTTGGTTTTGGTGACACATTCCTGTAATCCTGACACTTGGGAGACTGAGGCAGGAAGATGGCAGTTTTTGAGACCAGCCTAGCCTACATAGTGAGACCCTGTTTCAAAAAACAAGAGAAAACTGGGCATGGTGGTGCATGCCTGTAATTCCAGTACTCAGCAGGAGGCTGAGGCAGAAGGATCACTGAGTTCAAGGCCAGCATGAACTGCATAGTGAAACCTTGTCTCAAAAAAAACAAAAACATAGGGGCTGGGGATTTAGCTCAGCGGCATAAGCACCTGCCTTGCATGCAGGTGGTCGTGAGTTCGATCCTTGGTACTGATAAAAAGGAAAAAGACCAAAAAAACAAAAAAAAAAAACAACCAAAAACATAAAACAGGACCCCCCCCCAAAAAAAAATTCTCATTTTTTTTGAGACAGGGTCTCTATATGTGATGTAGGCCTTGAACTCAGTGTGTACCCCAGGCAGGCCCTGGAACTGCAGTGATTCTCCTGCCTCAGCTTCTGGAACGCCTGGCCAAAAATTCTGTTTTAGTGTTTCTGTTCAGTCAAAATTTCTCTACTAAAAAAAAAAAAAAAATTTCTCTACTGAGTTTTGCTATATTATGTTTAAGATTCTAAATGCATTTGATTTGATTTATATAGCATGAAATAGAAAATATTTTTAAAAATTACTTTATCATTCATAGGAATACTTTAGCCAAAAATCACTACACATACTTTTACAAATATCCTGTGTGATTTCCTAGAATAATTATTTAGTATAAGTAATTTCTGAAACTTATACTTTTATATCAGTGAATTAAAATCCAATTAAAAGGAAAATATATAAACCCACCACTTGAGGAGGCTGTGGCAGAGGGGTCACTGAGTTTGAAGCTGGACTGGGCTACATAGGAAGACCCTGTCTCAAAAGCAAACAAACAGAACAAAAAAAGCAAACATTAGGTTCAATTTGGTTAGATCCTGGTTTTGTAAGTTATAGAATTTTAAAATTAAGGGGACTGGGCATGGTGGCGCATTCTTATAATTCCACATAGCAAGACCCTATCTCAAAAAACAACAAATAAGGGACCTTTAGCTGAATCTGATGGTGCATACTTGTAGTCCTAGTACTCTGGAAGGTTGAGGAAAGAGGAACACAAAACCAAATCTAGCCTGGACAATTTTTCAAGTTCCTGTCTCAATTAAAAAGGGGCTGTAGATACAGCGCAGGGCAGAATTTGGGCTTAATCCCTGGTACTGCCAATAAATAAATAATGAAAAAAGAAGGGACTTTAGAAGTAACCTAATCAGAACTATATCATTCACAATTCCTGCTAGCAGTTGTCAACCATACTGTTCAGTTCCATTTTGAAAAACCCTGTTCCTTCTTGTTCAAAGGGGAATACTCCTGATAAAGTATACCTAGAGAACTTACTAAATATTTAAAGTTAAATCCAAATTGAGCAAAGATCTTTTAGTCTTGTCTTTTTTTTTTCTTCCTTGCCAAAAGTAGTCCACACTTTTGTGTTCTTGTTTTGTTTTGTTTTTGAGATAGGGTCCTTTTATGCAGTTCAGACTGGCTTTGAACTGGCTAGATAGTCTTAATTTTTTTTTTTTTTTTGCTCTTTTTTTAACCTGTTTTCTATTGTCCTTGGAAAATAGATAATTAAATTCTGTTATATTTTACTTTTGTTTGTTTGTTTTTTTTTTAGATAAGGTCATACTGTGTAGTTAGGCTGGCCTCAAACTTGGTGATCCTCTTACCTTCGCCTCCCAAATACTGTAGGTTCAATCTACGGTACTGAAAAAATATATTTTTTTGTTAGAGTCATCCTATTTTATAAAATAAGTCCTAAAATTAAAGCAGTAGTCTGCCTTTTCTACCTATTTCCACTTCTCATAGCTAATCACTTTCAATTCATTTAGCTGTTTCTGATTTTGATCTCTGTATTTCCAAATAATAGGCTCATGACGATACTTCATTTTTCAGTTCTATTATATACTGACTTTCTGCTGTTACCAGTGAGAAATGGGTATAAGAGATCTTAAATTTCATGCTTCATATTCCCTATTCCTTACTAGTATAGTTACATAAATATGTATTTTTCTCTGCACTATTGGAGATTAAACCCAGGAATTCACATTGCAAGTGCAGATGTACAGCTTTAGCTATAGCCCC